GGGCAGTTCCAGATGCCGGGCGTCCCCTGCAAGGGATAAAGAAGCATCACGCCCACTTACCCGTCCCCCCCTCCCCCACAGTGACCAAGAATCACCTCCAATTCTGTCACTCACATTTCTTTGGAAGGCCGGTGGGGAGCCCCTCATCTGGCCCCGTGCTGACCCGTTCAGTCTGGTTTCTGTGCTAACCTACCCAGTTCCTCGGATTTTCCCTTGCCTGCTGAGGAAAGCCTTGCTCGTGGTTCTGTAATCACACAGCTCCTCAGCCCCTCGCCTGCAGTTCCAAAACCCACGACGCCCTGCCCACTGAAAGGTTTTCCTAAGTTTGCAGAACCAGCCACGAAGCCACTGTGTTGAGCAAAGTTGGGCTTTTTGACTTGATGCCACGAGAGAGAACCCACACAATCCGTGTCTTGATTGCTTCCCGTTCACCCCTTTGGTGTGGGGGGGACCCGTGCCCTCAATAGTACGCCTCCCAGTGCTGGCCGGGGTGGGGGTGACAGGAGCCACATGCACTCAGTGCCGGGGGGAAGGAGGACGCTGCCCATCACGTGGGGCCACTCGGGGCTGCAGTTGGGAACACAGTGGACCAGCATGAGCTGTGGGCTGCCCTTTATAGTAAGGGCGTGAGGTGCCCCCGGTTCCTTCAGGAGGATATGATTGGCTTGCAGGCTGGCAGGGAACTGAAGTCCTGCAGACTGAGAACGGGGTGGAATGTGGCCAGTCTGCTGGGGAGACTAGCTGGGTGGGGAGCCTTGCGCAACAATGGGGCGCACATGGAGACAAGAGCGGGAGATGGGACACCTGGGTGGCTCAGTCGGTTAAGCGTCCGACTTCAGCTCAGGTCATGATCTCACTGTTCGTCGGTTTGAGCCCCGCGTCGGGCTCTGTGCTGACAGCTCAGAGCCTGGAGCCTGTTTCAGATTCTGTGTCTCCCTCTTTGTCTGACCTTCCCCTGCTCACGCTGTCTGTCTGTCTGTCTCTCTCTCTCTCTCTCTCAGAAATAAATAAAATATTTTTAAAAAGTATGGACAAGAGCAGGGGACTCCAGAGGCCCTGTGTGGCTGGCAGACTTCAGGGCGGCACTGGAATTGTTAGGTGTTGCAGCACGATGGGAACTCATGGGCCTCTCTGGGAGGGTTAAGCTGAAGGGCTTATAGGACTTGGGTCCATGTTAGGTGATGGGGGAAGGTCTTGGATTGAGTGCTATCAGGAAACAGAGGTAACTCTAGGGTTGGATGGTTTTTGTCATTTTAATTTTTTTTTCATATTTATTTTGAGAGAGAGAGAGAGAGAGAGAGAGAGAGAATTCCAAGCGGGCTCTGTGCTGTCAGCACGGCTTCATCTCACAAGCAGCAAGATCATGACCTAAGCCTAAATCAAGAGTTAGACACTCAACTGACTAAGCCTCTCAGGTGCGCCATTCTTTTTTTAAATGATTGGATGTTTTAAAAAATTTAACATTTATTTCTTCTTAAATAGTTTATTTCAAGTTGGTTTCCATATAACACCCAGTGCTCATCCCAACAAGTTCCTCCTCCCAACAAGTAACATTTATTTATTTTTGAGGGACAGAATGTGAGCAGGGGAGGGACAGAGTCACAGACTCTGAAACAGGCTCCAGGCTCTGAGCTGTCAGCACAGAGCCCGACGCGGGGCTCGAACCCACGAACCGTGAGATCATGACCTGAGCCAAAGTTGGCCGCTTAACCGACTGAGCCACCCAGGCACCCCAATGATGAGGTGGTTTAGTCAATCTCATCATGAAGCAGAGCTGATGATCTAGTCAGTCAAGAAGCAGGATTGGGAGGCTGTTTGGTCATGTGTGTGGTTTGGACAATGTTCTTGTTTTTGTCTGAGTTCAGATGTGGTTACAACTGTCCTTGCTGTGTCTTGGCCCATCAGGGGGCACAGCCGTCCTTCTGGGTGCTGGTGGTGTTCCGTGAAGTTGTTTGCACTCTCAGGAGCGTCCCTCGGCGCCAGTCCAGGTCCCGACGTCAGGGGCCGATTTTCTCCTCCTCCATCTATACCTCCGTGTAGCCGAAGGCATACACAGTCCGTCCTCAGAAACCTGGTCCAGAGGATCCCGAGCTTCGCTGTCGCCAGATGTTGCTGGCCTGGAGGTTGTTCAGAGAAGGTCGTCGCAGCTGGACTGGGGTTAGCACCCTCCCGCTGTCCTGCAGAATGAATTGTCCTGTCCCCTCCTAGGGTGGCCCCCGCACCCACTGCACTGACGCATCAGCCACCCGCAACACAGGCCATTATCAGAAGCAAACCTGGCTATTGGCTCTGGTACCAGGTCCTGAACTGGGGCCTTGATTGCCAAGCACAGGCTGTGAGTATGTGCCCCGGACTCCAGCTGGCCTTTCCCTAGAGAGCCAAGTGGCTTTTTTTTTTTTTTCTTTTTTTTAAGAAAGGAAGGGAGGGAGAGAGAAAGAGAGAGAATGAGAGCTGGGGGGTGGGAGGGCGGGGTGGAGGAGAGCAACAGAAGGAGAGAGAGTCAAGCAGGTTCTGCACTGGGTGTGGAAGCTTGATCTCACAGCCCCAAGATCATGACCTGAGCTGAAATCAAGAGTTGGACGCTTAACTGACTGAGCCACCCAGGCGCCCCAGTGGCTTTATTATTATTATTTTTTAAATTTTTTATTTTTAAGAGAGAGAGAGGGAGGGGCAGAGAGAGAGGGAGGCAGAGGATCTGAAGTGGTCTTGGTGCTGACAACAGAGAGCCTGACATGGGGCTTGAACTCATGAATTGTAAGATCATGACCTGAGCTGAAGTCGGATGCTCACCTGACTGAGCCATGATCATTGGCAAGAATGGGATATCAGGTCAGTTCTGGGGGAAAGGAATTCTTTTGAGTCATAGTGGCCTGGTACTTCACATGTGTTATTTCTGCATACACACACACACACACACACACACACACACAAACACCGTGACAACCTCACATGGAAGGTTTTTTGGGTTTTTTTAAATTTAATTTATTTTTTAATTTACATCAATTTAGTTGGTATATAGTGCAAAAATGACTTCAGGAGTAGATTCCTTAATGCCTCTTACCCATTTAGCCCATCCCCCCTCCCACGACTCCTCCAGTAACCCTGTGTTTATTCTTTATATTTAAGAGTCCCTTATGTTTTTGTCCCCCTCCCTGTTTTTATATTATTTTTGCTTCCCTTCCCTTATGTTCATCTGTTTTGCATTTTTAAAATTTTTTTATTTATTTCTGAGAGAGAGAGAGAGAGAGACAGTGTGAGCAGGGGAGGGTTAGAGAGAGAGGGAGATACAGAATCTGAAACAGGATCCAGGCTCTGAGCTGGCTGTGAGCACAGAGCCTGATGCGGGGCTCGAACTCACGAAACGTGAGATAATGACCTAAGCCAAAGTTAGATGCTTACCCAACTGAGCCACCCAAGCACCCCTCATCTGTTTTGTATTTTAAAGCCTTCATACGAATGAAGTCATATGATATTTGTCTTTCTCTGAATGATAAATTACACTTAGCATAATACCCTCTAGTTCCATCCATGTAGTTGCAAATGGCAAGATTTCATTCTTTTTGATGGCCGAGTAGTACTCCATTGTATATATATGTACCACATCTTCTTTATCCACTCATCCATCAATGGACATTCGGGTTCTTTCCATACTTTGGCTCTTGTCCACAGTGATGCTATAAACATTTGGGGTACATGTGTCCCTTCGACACAGCACACCTGTATCCCTTGGATAAATACCTAGTAGTGCAATTGCTGGGTCATAGGGTAGTTCTATTTCTAATTTTTTTGAGGAGCCTCCATCCTGTTTTCCAGAGCGGCTGCACCAGTTTGCATTCCCACCAGCAGTGCAAAAGGGTTCCTCTGTCTCTCCATCCTTCCCTTGGAAGGTTTTATTGCTATTTTAGCTGGTAGGGAAGCAGAGGCTCAGAGAGGTTGAGTCATTTGCACAAGGTCCCACAGCTGTTGAGAACATGCACCCATGTCCCTGAACCCGGAGTGGACAGGCGCTCCACTCTTTGTGGGGAAGCTGGGGGAGACTGGCCCTTAGCCAACTGCACCCCTGAGCGGGGCTCATGCCATGCACTGCATAGAAGCAGTGTGTGCTGTATGCCAGGAGCCCAGGGTGGGCCAGGAGTGGGGGCTCCCGGGGTTAAGCCGAGGGCCTCCCCTGCAGACTTCCCCAGGAGGCAGGATGAGCAGTTCTTGTGGAAGAATCGTCAGGGGCAGGGCCTGACCACACAGGGGCCCAAACGGCTTTCCAGTCCTGTGGGTCCTGTACCGCTGCTCACAGCCGAGTCCTCGGGGCGTGGGGCACTCGTGAGCCCTGGCTCTAGCGGGGACCAGAGCAAGGTTTGGCAAGGGTGTCCTCACTGGTGCGCCGGGGTGGGCAGGGCCATGCAGGGCTCAGACCTGTGGAAAGCCAGCTGCCTCTTGCCCTCCCGGGCCCACCTCCCCACCCCCTTCCCCACCCCCACCCCCGCCAGAAGCTTGAACATCTATGGGGCGTTTGGCTCGTGTCTGAAGACCAGCGTAGCTCTTCTGACTCTTCTCTCTACATCCTCTTTTCTCAAAACCCGGGCTCTCTTAACTCTGAGAACTCTGTTTTCCTGTCCTAGTTCTAGAGACTTCCAAGGAGTGAGCTTCCTCCCCGTCACCTTCACTGCATGCTTCTTAGAAGGGGTCATGGGTCTTACATAACTGAAGGGCTTGACATGAAAGGCTGACCGTCCTTCTGTTCACTCATCAGCGTGTAACTGAGCGCCCACCCTGCCCTGCCCCAGGCCCCCGGAAGCACTTGCCCACATTCTTTGGTGTCCTAGCAACCAGGAGCTCTCCTCTGAGCTCCGGCTGGCGCAGAGGCCATTTTCTCCCTGACCGCCATGACCTGCAGCCTCCCTGGGCCTCTGAGGACCTGTCTGCACAGTTTGTGGATCCCCTGAAAGCCGCCACTTGCCCCCAAGGACGCCCAGAACCCCAGCCCAGCCGACCCTCCCTGCAGAATGAGCTTTTCGCTCACGTTCTCGGAGCTGGTCAACGTGGCCGTCCCGCAGTGTGGCGTGGTGAACTTCAAGGCCCTGCAGCTCCTGCTCCACGGCATCCTGGAGCATATCCACATGGCCGAGCTCAAGAAGGTCCTCTCGGGAGACGAGGACTTTCTCCAAACCTCGCCGGCCGCGTTCATGCCCCGGGAAGCAGACGCCCAGCCCATCGTCCACCCCATGAAGAGGCTCGACAACATCTTTGACCACGTGGTGAGCCGCATCGACAAGATGGAGAGCCAGCTGGCCACGCTGCAGGACCTGCCCTCCACTTCCCAGCTGTTGGAGGGCAGCCGGGGCCAGGGCCAGCCCGCCCAGGATCTGTGGCACCTCATAAAGCTCCGGAAGATGGTGGAAGGCAATGAAGAAGCCATGGCAAAGGTAAACCACCTGGCCTCCGGAAGCTTCCTGCCCTCCGTGCTCTCCCCGCTCTTCCCTTCTGCCCCTCGTGATGGGCTCTCCTCCAAAACGGGGAGAGATGGGGCTTTGGAGTCAGGCAGAACCAAAGCTCCGACCTTGCACCCTTTGTCGAGGGTTAAGGAAAGAAGCCAGACACAAAGGGCCACACATGGTGTGACTCCATTTGTATGAACCAGGCAGATCTGTAGAGACAGAAGGCTGACAGTGGTTGGCAGGGGTGGGGAAAGGCAGAAAGGGGGAGGAGAGCCTAGTGGCTCTGAGGTCTCCTTTTTGGGTGATGAAGAGAGTTTGGAAACACACCAAATTCCACCGTTCCCTCATCTCCTCACTGTCCCCTTCACCCTCGAGGCTCTGTTTGGCTCCCTGCCCAGGGAGATGACCACTGGAAGGAGCACTCACCGTGCTCTGCGTGAGCTGATGTCTGTTAGCCCCTTTCATCTTCATAGCACCCACAGGAGACAGGTCCGATATTCACCCCCAGCTTAGGTGAGGCACCGAAGCACTGAGTTTAACTCACCTGGGGCCACACAACGTTAGCAAATTTCCCCATTTGCTGGTGCAAATCTGGGCCGGGGGGGTGGGTGAGAGGCATAGGAATGTGGGGGTGCTGAGCATGCTGCTGCTTCCCCACTGGACCAGCGGGTGGGGGGTGATCATGATTTCCTCCTCCCAGGATTGCCTTGAGATTGATACCAGACAAAATAATGCGTGGGAAGTGCTTAGACAGAACTTGAGGTCTTCTGGGCACCTGGACAGTGGTCACTAGCAGTATTATCGGGAGAATTGAACTGAGCAGGGAAAATGGGTCACCAGGACCTCAGTGAAGTCAGGCACCGGGAGCCCTGAGGGCAGGGGGAGGGTGCAGTCTGGTCGAGGCGGGCTGAGAGGCAAAGCAAAGTGGACCAACGTTAAAACCCATGCTAAGGAAAGCAGCCGGATGCAAAGGACCATGTACTGCATGGTTCTGTGTCTTTTCTTTTCTCTTCTTTTCTTTTCTTCTCTTTTCTCTTCCCTTCCTCTCCCTTCCCTTCCCTTCCTCTCCCCTTCCCTTCCTCTCCCTTCCCTTCCCTTCCTCTCCCTTCCCTTCCCTTCCTCTCCCTTCCCTTCCCTTCCTCTCCCTTCCCTTCCCTCCCCTCCCTTCCCTTCCCACATTCTTTCTTTCTAATCCCAATTGGTTAATATATAGTGTAGTAACTGTTTCAGGGGTACAATTTACTGATTCCTCACTTACACATGACACCCAGTGCTCATCCCAACAAGTGCCCTCCTTACTGCCCATCCCCCATTTAGCCCCTCTTCCCACCCACCTCCCCTGCAGCAACTCTCACCTTGTTCTCTGTCTTTAATAGTCTCTTATGGTTTGCCTCCCTCTCTGTTGTTTCTCCTTCCCTTCCTGTACGTTCATCTGTTTTGTTTCTTTAAAAAGTTTTTTTTTTAAATGTTTATTTTTGAGAGAGAAAGAGACAGACAGTGGGGGAGGAGCAGAGAGAGGGAGACAGAATTTGAAGGAGCATCCAGGCCCTGAGCTGTCAGCACAGAGCCTGATTTGGGGCTCAAACTCATGTGCCGCGAGATCACTACCTGAGCCGGAATCAGACACTTAACCAACTGAGGTACCCAGGTGCCCCCATCTGTTTTGTTTCTTAAATTCCACCTAGGAGTGAAGCCATGAAACACCCAGAAAAGGCAGGTCCGTAGAGATAGAAAGTAGATTCGTGGTTGCCAGGAGCTGGGTGGTGGTGGTGACAATGGGGAGGGACTGCTGATGGCTGTGGGGTTTCTCTCTGGGTGACGAAAATATTCTGGAACTAGGTCGTGGTGACAGTTGCCAACCTTGTGAATGTACCAAATGCTCCACTAAATTAATTCTTTGTTTTGGTATCCTGTGCATTTTACCATACACACACAGCAGAGGTTGGCAGAATCGATGAAAAGAAAAAAGGCATGATCTAACTATACCCTGTCTACAAGAGACACATTTTTTTTAATGTTTTATTTATTTCTAGGAGAGAGAGAGAGAGAGAGAGAGAGAGAGACAGCGTGAGCAGGGGAGAGTCAGAGAGAGAGGGAGTCACAGACTGAAACAGCTCCAGGCTCTGAGCTGGCAGTCAGCACAGAGCCCGACGCGGGGCTCGAACCCACAAACCGCGAGATCAGGACCCAAGCGAAAGTTGGACACTTAACCGACTAAGCCACCCAGGCGCCCCATACAAGAGACACATTTTTAAATAATTTTTTAAAAATGTTTGTTTATTTTTGAGAGAGAGAGCGATAGAGTCAAGCAGGGGAGGGGCAGAGAGACTGAGACCCAGAATCTGAAGCAGGCTCCAGGCTCTGAGCTGTCAGCATAGAGCCTGATACGGGGCATGAACCCATGAACCACAAGATCATGACCTGAGCTGAAGTCAGATGCTTAACCGACTGAGCCACCCAGGTGCCCCAAGAGACATATTTTAGATTCCAAGACCAATAGGTTGAAAATAAAAGGATGGAAAAAGGTACTCCATGCGAGCGGTTATCAGAAGAGAGCTAGAGTGGCCACACTGCTCATATCAAAGACAGCCTTTAAGACAAGAATGGTTGCTAGAGACAAAGAAGGTTGAAGAGGTGCCCAGTGCAGATTACAGAGGCCTCGGAGGCTGGAGAGGTGGACACAGTGTCCTAGCAGCCTGCCCCTGGCTTGTCCTGGTGGGTGGAGACTTCTAGAATGCACAGAACCGGGAGTGACCCAGCCAGTATGTGAAGGGCGCTGGTGCATAGGTTCCCACATGGCTTCAGAGCACTATTTGTGCATCTAGGATTAGAGAACGTTCCCCTGGCCTGGCCTGGCTGAGGTTGCTGGGGTTCCCACCCTACCCCTCTACCCCCTGCCGTGCTAACTGGTTCTCGGACAGTGCAAGCTGCTTACCTAAGTGTCTGCGCCCACCGGCCAGTCAGGCGGGCAGACCAAACACCATGTGGCTGCCCAGGTCAGCTCACCTGCCCCTGGGCCCCCTTTCTCTGGGGCTGGCCGGGTTGTGTCTCCTGCTGTCCTCTACCAGCGCCTGTCTAGGTGCCAAGGCCCAAAATGGGGAAAGATAAGCCTGTGAGACCTGGCACCCACCCTGGACAGAGTGAACGGTGCCCAGAAAACTAGGGCCGGCACCAAGGCCTCTTGCAAGCAGGTTTGAGGGGCTCTGCAGGCATGGTTAGCGGACCGCCAGATTTGGGGCTCGGGCACTGCAGGCTGAGATTGCCCCAGCCGTCACCCTCACGGATAATTCTCCCTGGTGAGGGTCAGCCTGTGCGCTATGGTGTGCTAAGCAGCGTCCTTGGCTTCCACCCCCCAGCTGCCAGAAGCGCCCCCTAGTGGTGACAACCAGAACTGCCTGCAGACATTGCCAAATGCCCGCTGGGAGCCAATTCGCTCCCCACCCCCCACCCCCGCCACCTCCCGCCTCTCACCTTGAGGTCCGCTGAGTTCGGAAAACCGTGGTCCCCTTGCTCGCCCTGTGTGTCGCCCCCGCAGCCCCCCGGGCGGCTCGGACCTAGGGCCTCCTGCGCCTGCCGGAGCGCCAGCCCCACCTGCGGAGCTTCCCCAGCACGGCAGGCACCGAGGCCCCGCCCGCTTCTCCCCGGCCGCCCACCCTGAGCGTCAGTTTGGGAAAGTGTCCGCGGGAATGAGCCAGTGAGCCCAGCCGGAGCCCAGAAAGCTGCGTCCGGAGGTCCCTGTCTGTGTCCTTGAGACCTCGGTTATCACAGTTGTGATGATCACCCTCGGCCGCTGGCCTTACAGGACCAAACGGGAGACCGCGTCAGCTGTGTATGGTTTATTCTGGGGGTCACGCGGGCAGGACGCGGGATCTGGGGGTCTGAGTTCAAGCCCCGTGCTGCAGGGGGAGCCGACTTAAAAACTAACAACAACAACAACAACAGACTGTTCTGGCTGACCTGTTTCCATAAATAAATTTGAGGTCCCTGTGGGGATTTTTACAACCTTTTGTTGCTTTTTCTGATTTCAGAACTCCCTTCCCGTTGAACTTCCCCAGCCCCAAAACTCTTGCTGTAGATCCCACAAATTAAAACGACTTTAAATTTACTTTTTAAAAGTAAAGTTGATTTATTTGTTTTGAGTGAGACAGAGGCAGCGCCAGTGGGGGAGGGGCAGAGAGAGAGGGAGAGAGAGAATCCCAAGCAGGCTCCCAACCTTCAGCGCGGAGCCCCATGCAGGGCTCGAACTCACAGCCCTGTGAGATCATGACCTGAGCCAAAACCAAGAGTTGGATTCTTAACCCACTGAGCCACCCAGGTGCCCCTAAGGTGATTTTAAATGTAAATTAATGTTTGAAAAATTCATAACAAAGCTGAAAGGCGTGGAAAATACTGGGGTTTTAGAGAATAGGGTCAAGGTTACTGCAATAACAGTAATGAACTTTCTGTGTGGCCAGCATCTCTTCAGGGTACTTTGTATTCCTGTTTCCTGGGAGGGAAATGGTATTAGCTTTCCCATTTCCCAAAGCTCTGGGGTTTGCTACCTTTTCTGGGTTTGCCCTGGACTCCCTGTGTGTGTGTGTGTGTGTGTGTGTGTGTGTGTGGTGGGAGGTGGGGGGTGACTCCTGCTCAGGTAACTTATAACTTAGGCCCCTGGTTGCCTCTAGGGAGACAGGGGAGAGGGAAGCATTCCTGTACTGGTGTGGGATCTGGACTTCAGAGATTTCCCTGAAAAGTGTTTTCCATCTACAGCAGATAAGGACTTGTAAAACCCTTCCCATGATACCATCACGACTCCCGACGAAATTAACAACTCCCAAATACCATCCAGTAGACTGTATGGAAATTTCTCTCCGTTTTTTCTAAAACAAAATTGCTACTTTTTACAGCTTTATTGAGATATATTCATACATATGTTCATGTGCATACCAGAGTATTCATCCATTTAGAATGTGTGGTTCATGGGGTGCCTGGCTGGCTCAGTCGGTAGAGCATGCGACTCTTAATCTCGGGGTTGCGAGGTTGAGGCCCACGTTGGGATCACTTAAAAGTAAGTGTGGAGATCACTTAAAAATAAAAATCTTTAAAAAATAAAGTGTACATTTCAGGGAGTTTAGTATGCTCACAGTGTTCTGCAACAATTACAATCAATTTTAGGACATTTTCTACAGCCCACCCCCAAAACACCCCTTGACCATTAGCCATCATTCTTCTTCCTGCTCCTCCTTGAGCCCCATTCTTGGACTTACCATGATGTCTTCAAGATTGATCCATGATGTCACAGTGTCCTTTTCTAGGCAGAGTTTTAAATTTTGCTGAAGTACAATTTATGTATCTCTTTTGTCACATTTTTTTGATGGATTGTTGCTTATGCTTTTTGGTGGCATATCTAAGAAACTATTGGCTGACCAAGGTCATGAAAATTTACTCCTATATTTTCTTCTACAACATAGAAGTAAATGGCTTATAGTTTCTCTCTTATATTTAGATGTAGGAGCCATTTTTAGTTAATTTTGGTATAGAGTGTGAGGTAGGAGTCCTACTTAATTCTTTTGTATGTGGGCATCCAACTGTTTGGTACTATTTGTTGGAGACAGCTCTTCCCCTATTGATTTGTTTTGACACACTCTTATTGTAAATGCATTTCTGGACTGTTCTTTCTCTTCCATTGACCTGTGTATCTTTTCTTATGCCAGTACCACACTGTCTTGATCACTATAGCTTTGCAGAAAGTGTTGAAATCAGGAAGTGTGAGGGGCGCCTGGGTGGCTTAGTCGGTTAAGCGTCCGACTTTCCGACTTTCGCTTAGGTCATGATCTCGCGGTTCGTGGGTTCGAGCCCCGCGTCGGGCTCTGTGCTGACTGCCAGCTCAGAGCCTGGAGCCTGTTTCGGTCTGTGACTCCCTCTCTCTCTGACCCTCCCCTGCTCACGCTGTCTCTCTCTCCTAGAAATAAATAAAACATTAAAAAAATAAAATAAAAATTCACATAACATACAATTCACCCATTTAAGAGTGTACAATGGTTCTCGTCTATTCATAGACTTGTACAACCATCACCACAGTCAAATTTAGAATGTTTTCATCCACCTAAAAGAAACCCTGTATCCTTCATCACCACTGTACCCCTTCAGGCTCCACTGCAAACCACCCACCAGTCTTAAGCAACTGCTAATCTGCTTTCTGTCTTGTAAATTTGTCTATTCCAGATGGTTCATATAAACAGAATCATGCAATGTGTTGTCTTTTCTGTTCAGAGTATTTTAGTTAGCATCATGTTTCTGAGGTTCATCTTCCTGGAATTGGTACTATGGTCCTTTTTATGGCTGAATGATATCCCATGTTGTGAATATATCACATTTTGCTATGTCTGCTAGTTGACTGACATTTGGATTGCTTCTGCTTGGAGCTATTATGAATAATGCTGCTATACACATTCATACACATGTTCTCATTTCTCTTAGATACATACCTAGGAGTAGACTTGCTGGGTCATCTGGGAACTCTGGTTCCTATCTTATGAGGAACTGCCACACTGTTTCTTAAATGGCTGTACCATATTGCATTCCCACCAACAGTATGTGAAGGTTCCAATTTTTGTATATCCTCACCAACACTTACTATTATCTGACTTTTGATTCTCACCATCCTAGTGGATATAAGAGGTATCTCATTGTGGTTTTGATTTTTTTTCCCCTGATGACTGATGATGTTGAACATCTTCCCTTCTCCTGAGCTTAGTGGCCATTTGTATACCATCTTCGGAGAAATGCCTATTCAGGTTTTTGCATAATACTGGCCTCATAGAATAAGTCTGGAATTCTTCTATATTTTGGGGAAAAAATTGAGGCACCTGGATGGTTCAGTCAGTTAAACATTGGATCTTTTTTTTAAATCAGTGTTTCAAATCTCTTCATTTGTCTTAGGTCTATTCAAATTTTCTTTTCTTTCTTTTTTTTTTATTGAAAGAGAGAAGGCTCAAGTGAGCAAGAGCAGAAAGAGAGAGGGAGAGAGAGAAACCCACAAGGGCCAGAGAGGGAGAGGGAGAGAGAGAGAAAGAGAGAGAGAGAAAAATGGGGGTCACCTGAAGCAGGGCTTGTGTTCACCTCAGGCGGGGCTGAGTTCACCTGATGTGGGACTTGAACTCATGAACCATGAAATCATGACCTGAGTAGAAATCAAGAGTTGATGTTTAGCCAATCAAGCCACCCAGGTGCCCCTATTTTTTTTTTAAGTTTATTCATCTATTTTGAGAGAGAGAATCCCAATCAGGCTTCTCTCTGTCAGTGCAGACCCTGACTTGGGCCTCTTCCCACTACCATGAGATGACCTGAGCTGATACCGAGAGCCAGTATTTAACCAGCTAAGTCACCCAGATGCTCTAATGTCTGCCTTTAATTTTTTTTTAATGTTTTACTTTAGTTTTTGAGAGACAGAGAGAGACAGAGTGCTAGCAGGAGAAGGTTAAGAAGAGAGGGAGATACAGAATCAGAAGCAGGCTCCATCCCTGAACTGCCAGCACAGAGCCTGATGCAGGGTTCGAACCCAGGGATCATGACCTGAGCCAAGTTGGACCTGCAACTGACTGAGCCACCCAGTAGCCCCTAATGTCTGCCTTTTAAGTGAAAGTTTAACCCATTTACATTTAATATAATTAGTGATAAGAATGACTTCTGCCATTTTGCTGTTTGTTATTTTTGTTAGCTGAATACCTAACTATGCATTGGGCCCTTTAAATACATCATCACTTTTTTTTTCATCATCACTTTTTTTAAAATTCTTATTTTATTTTTGAGAGAGAGAGAGACAGCGTGAGCAGGAGAGGGATTGAGAGAGGGAGATACAGAATCTGAAGCAGGCTCCAGGCTCTGAGCTGTCAGCACAGAGCCCAGTGCAGGGCTCAAACTCACGAGCCATGAGATCATGACCTGAGTTGAAATCTGACACTTAATTGACATATCATCACATTTTTTATATTCATTTTATGCTTGAGGATCCTAGAACCTGGAAACATGCAATAACAGCCCCACTGAGTGATGGAGCTGAGCTATGAGTCCAGCACTCAATGTTCCCATCAGCTCTTGCCTGGAAGTTCCTCACTGGTTCTCTGGCTTCCTCCCTTCCCCTCCAGGAGCCAATCTACACATGTAGCCAGAGGGACCCTTTTTTTTTCCTTTCATAGTTTTTTGTCTAGTTGGATTCCATATAACACCCAGTGCTCATTCCAACAAGTGCCCTCCTCCATGCCCATCACCCCCTTTCCCCCTCCCCTTCCCATCAGCCCTCAGTTTGTTCTCAGTATTCAAGAGTGTCTCATGGTTTGCCTCCCCTTCTTCTCCACCATGGTCCTCGATTATGTTTCTCCTAATCCTCCTATAAGTGGAAGCGTATGGTATCTGTCTTTCTCTGTCTGACTTATTTTGCTCAACATAACACCCAGAGGGACCCTTTTAAAATGTAAATCCAATCATAACTCCCTTGCTGATGTCCCACCAAAGAGCATGAGATGCTTCCTAATGAGGGACTCCTGGTTACTGAATACACTGAAATGCAGAGTTGCCTCCATCCCACCCAGACCGCCTGGGGCTCAGCACTTTTGACCTTGGTGTCATATGCTGGCCTCTGAGTATGTTCCAGCCTGCACCTTGCAAGAGGACTTCTTGGACCATGGCCATCACTGGAGAGCTTCTGCACTTTATATACCTTCCTCCCCAGCCACAGCCAACTTCACATTTTCCCCTCTTCTTCCCTTTCAGTCCATGAAGACCCTGCAGGATTTGCTCACTGACATTTATGCACTCAAGGTCTCCACTGAAACTCTCAGAAAGGATGTGGACAAACTGAAGGTCATATTTGAAAAGGTAGACCCTCTCCCGGCCATGTTGCTTGGACCTCAGATGGTTGGGGGGACAGGGTAAATCTAGGGAGCCTGCTCTTAGCCAGAGAACACAGCCATGAGAGCCGGAGAAGGGCTTTGACATTGACCAGCCACTTAGCACATCCCACCGCGGCTCCCACCATGCTCCGCACCCTACTGTGTTAGGAGACCATTTGTAAATGACAGAAACCTAGTTAATTGTGGCGTAGGCAGAATGAAAGAGTTTAGTGTCTCATTTACTAAAATGTCCTGAGTTGCTTTCGGGGACAACCAGATCTAGGTGCTCGTACCACATCAACATCTCTCTGTCAGTGATGCTTTCCTCTGGGGTGGCTTCATTCTCAGGCAGGTACTCCCTAAGTCTGGGTAACTCCAGGCTTACATTCCACCAACTTACAGAAAGATTACAGCTTTTCCTATCCTGTGAGGCTCTGTCAACGCTGAAAAGTGGAACAAACCTAGGGTGGGCATAAACCTACCTCCCCTTGGAGAGATGACGCAAAGACATCAATCCAGGTACATACGAACTCCTTACCATGATGTGGAAGGACTCAGAATCCCTGAAGCATGAGGTCACAGCTGTTGAGTCAGAGCTGGGCTCGGGGGCCAGGTCTCCTCAGCAGCCTGTATCGTGCCTGAGGTTTCACAACTTGCCCCCGGATAGCATGGTTTAGTGTAGCATCATGGCACCTGTGAGAACTCAGTCTGAGCAGCTTCCATCTGAGAAGAAAGGGCATCATGAAACACTAAAAAGGTTCCCTTGACAAATCGGCGGAGAAAAAGAAAAAATGCCTCCACCACCTACCTCTTGGAGATTCTTAATATACTTTTGCCCATTACAGGCTCTGAGAAGTCCTGCAGCACAGAAACCCATTGAATCCTTTTAAGCCCAACATTTTCCAAACTTGTTTTCCCAGGCAACCCTCTCCTACCCCCTTCCCACTCCCTGAGAAGCACTTGCTTTGGAATCTGTTTTTCCTTCTCCAATTCCGTCACCTAGAACTAAGTCCTTGTCTTTGAGCTGTGAGAGAAGCAGGGCCAGGACCAGAACTTGCAGGCCCACAGACTTGGCTCATTTGACAGATGCACCCGGAAAGAATGAATACTTTCGTGGAGGATCTGAGGGGACAGAACCAGAAGACCAGGGCCCTGCAGCGGGAAGTGGTGAGAGCCCCAGTGCTGTCCTCCCTCCGGACTCCCCTGCCCTCTAGGCCCGGGGCGGAGGGTGGGGGTACTGGGGGCAGGGAGGGGTAAGAAGGAGATCACACTCAGAAAAGGTAGGTGTAGACCAAGGAGCCACCTGAGGGCCTCACCCATCATTCCCAACCCTGCCCCCCAGGTTTCTCTCCAGGGCAAGATGCTCACCATCCCCAGATCCGAGGACATGGTACTCTGGAGCAGCCTCCATGAGGCCATGTTCACCCCCGTGAGTGAAGGGAGACATGGAGGGGTGGCAGCTGAGGGTGACCGCTGAGCTGGCCCGAGCATCCCTGGCCAGCCTCACCCCCATCTCCACAGGGAACTTTAGCACAGAGAACCAGTTCACTACAGTTTAAGGATTCAGAGCTGTTGCAGATTGTCGGTCAGCTCCCAGAGACGGATCATTCCCAGACCGCTGAGTACCCTGCTGCTGGTCATGTCCAGGTCTCAGAGGCCATCAAGCACCCCAGGTTACTGGAGACCACCTGGCATTCTGGGATCCTGGAGCAGCTACAGGACGAGGAATCTGCCCAAGCTGCTCTACTCGCTGGGGCCCAGGGGCCGGGGCAGCCTCAAGTGCCCGGGGCTGGGTCTGTGCCTCAGCCTGTGCCCGAGCCTGGGTCTGCACCCAAGCCTGGGCCTGCATCCAAGACTGGGCCTGGGCCCCAGCCTGGGCCTGCACCCAAGCCTGGGCCTAGGCCCAAGCCTGAGTCTGTGGCCAAGCCTGGGTCAGTGCCTGAGCCTGGGCCTGGGCCCGAGCCTGAGTCTGCGGCCAAGCCTGGGTCTGCGCCTGAGCCTAGGCCTGGGCCCGAGCCTGGGTCTGCGGCCAAGCCTGGGTCTGCGCCTGAGCCTAGGCCTGGGCCTGAGCCTGGGTCTGCGGCAAAGCCTGGGTCTGCGCCTGAGCCTAGGCCTGGGCCTGAGCCTGGGCCTGCACCTGAGCCTGGGTCTGCGGCCAAGCCTGGGTCTGCGCCTGAGCCTAGGCCTGGGCCTGAGCCTGGGCCTGGGCCTACACAGAGGCCACAGCCTGAGTCCACGCCTACACTAGGGCCTATGCTGGAGCCCAGTCTGACACGTGGATTCACACTAGCACCTTGGCCTGTGTTCAGATCTGGACCTCACCCTGGACCTTGGCCTGCCCTCGGGCCTGGGGCTGCCCCTGCACTCGGGCCTGGGGCTGCCCCTGGGGCTGCCCCTGCCCCGGGGTTTCAGCCCACACCACCAGGAGGCTGGCCTCTTCCCAGAGGCTTGTCCAGAGCTAGCAATTGGCCTTTCTTGGCCTCACGCTCCTTGCAGCTTCGCCCAGACACATCAGGCCTCCTGCCTGCACAGTCCCAGGGCTTCATGGCACCCCCGCCAGCCACCGAGTTTGGCTCTGCTTGGCCCCATCCCCTGCAGTCACAGTCCGGCCAGGCACAGGTACATCCACTGCCAGCTGTCTTAGAAAATGAAGAATATTTATCCCACAACATGCCAGCTCCTCAGGCCAGGACCCCCAGGGCTGAAGCCCCCAAGGCAGCACCGCCGAAGTCTCCCCTGTCTGCCCTTCAGCGGTTGAAGACCACCGCTGCCATTGCAGCTGCCGCCGCCGCATCCTACGCAGCCGCCGCCTCATCCGCAGCCCAGAAAGCTGAAGCTGCTGCCAAAGCCATCAAAAATGCCCCGGCCACCAAGTTGGCCACTGCAGCAACATCCATGGCCGCATCTGGGCCCTTAGGGGTCTTCGCAGATACCCTGGGCGCAGGCTCTTCCCGTGGGGCCTTGGCCTCCGTGTCCTTGGCTGAGGACGCTGAGGCGGAAGACTTGCAGGTGTACGGCGAAGACTTCTCTTCCTCATACCCTGCTGTCAGCGTCTCTTCCGATAGGAAGCTGTCCCAGGCCATGCTGGCTGCCCAGAATGCCGTGACCCCTGAAGACAAGAAGGAGGCCGTCAGGTACTCCATGAGCCACATAGCCCAGATGCCCATTAGACACGACTCCCTGAAAGAAGAGTTTTTGCAGCTGTCGAACACCCTTCAACGGCGCCTGAGTTTTCTAGGTAGGCTCGGCCTGGCTCCGGGGAAGGTAGCAGGGGCTCAGGCTCTCCTTACGTACGGCCTTTGAGAAGTCCCTCGTCTCCTCCATTTAGCTCTCCCAGCTAAATCTGTATTAACCATTAGCCATTCGTTCCTTTGGCTTCGGCATTTGCTTCTTATTAGTTATTATTATATATTATATTATTCTATTCTTTTACCATGAAGGCACAGTGAGGTCTTATCGTAGGGGAGACGGGTGGTTAGGGTCTAAAGTTGGCACCAAAGAAGGAAGGAAAATCACATGTCATGTTTACTCCGGAAAACTCCCTTTCGACAGCCCACGTAACACAGCACTAACTACTATATGATGTTTTGCTAAGTCTGGATCAACCAGGAGGTCCAAGACCAGTGAACAGACCTCAGATGAAGTGGTCAGTTTGAGATTAGGAGCAGCTGCTGGCCAAACAAATGTGACCTTGACGACCCAGAAACTCTCTGGGAGGCAGTGGGACCAGTAGCTTTATGCTCCTGTTTAATGAGCATGGCGGACAGACGCTCGCTGAGGGCAGCGGAGGGCAGGATGGCCTCATCCAGTGGTTCTCAACCTTGTGCTCCCTCAGCCCCCCCCTTCCCCCCTGGGCAGGAGGCCTGTTAAAGCACAGACTGCTGGGCCCCGCCTCTGGGGCTTCTGACTCAGTGGGTCTGAGCAGGACCGAAGAATTTGCATTTCTGACCCATTCCAGCAGCTGATTTTTTTTTTAATGTTTTTTAATGTTTTATTTATTCCTGAGAGAGATAGAGACAGCGTGAGCAGGGGAGGGTCAGAGAGAGAGGGAGACACAGAATCTGAAGCAGGCTCCAGGCTCTGAGCTGGCTGTCAGCATAGAGCCCGATGCGGGGCTCGAACCCACGAACCGCGAGATCATGACCTGAGCCGAAGCTGGACGCTTAACCGACTGAGCCACCCAGGTGCCCCAGCAGCTGATTTTTTTTTAATGTTTATTTTTGAGTGACAGGGAGAAAGAGAGCACATGTGTGCACAAGAAGCAGGGGAGGGGCAGAAAAAGACAGGGGGCTTTGGATGAAGTGCTGAGAGCAGAGAGCCCCTTACGGAACAGCAGTGAGATCATGGCCCAAGCCCAAGTCAGATGCTTAACTGACTGAGCCCCCCAGCAGCTGATTCTGATGCTGCTGGCCCAGGGGACCCACTGTGAGGCCCGTTGCTGTACCTATTTGAAGATTTAAAAAAAAAAATCTCTATACCGAACACGGGGCTCAAATTCATAACTCTGAGGTCAAGGGTCACATGTTCCCCTGACTGAGTCAGCCAGATTCTCTCTACCTCTGTCTCTGCCCCTCCCCTGCTTGTGTGCCTGCACTTTCTCTCTCTCAGTGAATAAATAAACTTAAAAAAAAAAAAAAAAAAGAATGTGGCTACTAGAAAATTATAAGTGACCTGAAAGGCCCCCAGGCTCACAGTATCTTTCTGTCGGTCAGTGCTGCCTCTGACATGTCCTGGTAGAAGGAGGTGGAGCTCTAGATGAAGCGTCTTTCCCCACCTCTGCCCCTAATGGCCACCCCTTCCTTTGCTTCCAGCTAATCAGGGAGACTCTTCGAAGCTCGGCATGACAGTGGACATACTGCAGGAAAAGATTGGGGACCTCCAGAGGTCCAGGGTGAAGGTCAGTGCCCCGGGGCAGAAAGAGACTGGGGATGGTGGCTTGAGGCAGGCTGACAGCAGAGTCGCTGACCCAGGACCAGAATTTGTTGTGTAGCTGAAAGGCGGCCTTGGGGTGTGATGGGGCCATGAAGACAGACCTGGGGGGTTCAGGAGTCCCAGTGGGTCGAGGCTATATGGTCCCCCCCACCCCCGCCAACGAGGGTCTAGGGCACTGGCCTCGTACACTTTTCAAGCCCGTTCCCTGCCATGGTGACTTTAGTGCCAAGGCCTTCATGTCTGTGTCTCCCCCTTTTAGGAGGAGGAACTTGAAAAAATTTGGGGCCACCAAATAGAGATAATAAAGGATCACCACCTGGTGCTGGACAAGGAAGTGGAAAAGCTCCACATTCGCCTGGATGACTTGAAGGTCTGTTTGGTTTTTATAAATGTTTTATTTTTTATTTTTGAGAGAGAGAGAATGAACACACACAAGAGATGGGGAGGGGCACAAAGAGAGAGGGGACAGAGGATCTGAAGTAGGCTCTGCACTGACAGCAAAGAACCTGACATGGGGCTTGAACTCATGGACTGTGAGATCATAACCTGAGCTGAAGTCAGATCCTCAACTGATTGAGCCACCCAGGTGCCCCAGGTCTGGCAGTTTGGGTGGGCACCTAGGGGCGAGGGTTCCTTGCTGGGACATTTGGACCCTCCCCCAAAGTTTCACAGATACACCTCAGGAGGGGGACCAGGGACCCTGCACTGGCATTTTACTTTGCATGAATTACACTTCAGTTGAGACAAACGGATCCCACCCACCCCCACCTCCACCCCCAAACATATAAACAAGAGGGCCTGGGCGACATCTGTGTTGTTGACCGTGGGGCCACCCGCCTCAGAAGGGTGTCTGGAGCACAGCAAGCACAGCGTGTGCTGAAGGAATCAGCGAAGGAGTGAGGGCATTTCCTGCACCAGCCGCTAGCTTCATAATGGTTCCCTTAACCCAGCTCATCTGTGAACGCTCAGCGCCGGCGGGTCTTTCCGGAATGGCAGATTTGCTGACGTGACAATTGTGCAGACAGACACAGAGCGCCTCGTAGGGACTCCCTTGGACACCCTCTCCCTGGGCCTGGATGGTCTGACTCAGCTGGCCTGAAGGGCCTCAGGACCAGTCCCGGCTGTGCCTCATCTGCGAGGTGCCCCCAGTCTGCGGACGAGGACCCAAAGTCATTCCCAGCAGCAAGAGAGGACCTTCCCCCAGAGTAGAAGAGACAAAACCCCAAACAGAACCGCCAGAGACAGCTTCCATGGGGCTTCTGATTCCAAGTCAGGGGGCTATTGGTGGGGTGCGCTAGGATGTGGGAGGCGTGAGGGAAGGGCACGCCACCCGCACTCCCTGCAGGAACTAGGCTAGGACACACACAGGGCGACTTGGGGAAGAGAACTGCTAAAAAGGGAGCCAGTCCCAGCCTGAGTGAGGTGGCAGGTACCTAGGCCTGTAGGCTCCGACCTTTGCCAGGACCGAGAGGAGGAACGGCTAAGTCTCCTGCCAGCGCTGGGCCCTCCCTCATCACTGCCCTCTGGGGCGGCTGGGCCGCCGCGCCCTGCGGATGTGCCGGTGCCTTCTCCGATAGGCACTGGGGCCCGTCCGTTCACACATCTGGTGTGTGGCCAGCACCCTGCTCCGCCCTGTACACAGGGTCCACCTCCAAGTAGCTGTCACTTGTCGAGGGAAACTCCAGAGGACAAGGCCTGACTAAACGGTGCCAAATGGAACAAGGCAGCCTTTGTCCTTCCTGCCCCTGTGCCAACAGGAGCTAGTTGCTTGTAAAAGTTAACCCTGGAAAGACCTGGAGAAGACTTCGTATACAACACATGGTTTGTTAAGTGTTTCCTTTTTTTTAAGTCGTTATTATTTATTTACTTACTTATTTAGAGAGAGAGAAAGAGAGCGTGAACAGGGGAGGGGCAGAGAGAGAGAGAGAGAGAGAGAGAGAGAGAGACAATTCCAACCAGGCTCCATACTCAGCACGGAGCCCGATGTGGGGCTTGAACTCACGAACCGTGAGATCGTGACCTGAGCCGAAATCAAGAGTCGGAAGCTTCACCAACTGAGCCACCCAGGTGCCCCATTCATTAAATATTCCTTAAAGGCACACGTGCTACAAGGAAGCAGCAGCGCGTGGCGCCCTTCCAGGAGAAACAGGGAGTTCAGACACATCTGCCACCGTTCTGTTGCAACATCTGGAGCAGCCACGACCGCTTACGTCTGCGATAAGTTACCGATGCAGCAGGTGGCACAAGAGATCCCTTTACTGGCTCACCGAGTCACCCAGCCAGTGCTGCGGAGCCTCCGCTCTGGCCGGGTCCCCTGCTAGTGGCTGGTGAGGCAGCAGTCAGACGCCCAGGTCCTTCTGAGTTTGCAGGGCGGTAGCTGTATTTCTTCGTTTCTAATCAGAGTGTAATTTTCGCTCGGTAAAATGCCCGTCTTTTTTTTTTCCTTAAGTTTATTATTTATTTTGGGAGAAAGCGTGCAAGTGGGGAAGAGGCAGAGAGAGAGAGAGAGAGGCAGAGAGAGAGAGAGAGAGGGAGAGAGAGAGGGAGAGAGAAAGAATCCCAAGCAGCCTCCACACCACCAGTGCAGAGCCCCATGTGGGGCTTGAACTCATGAACGACGAGATCACGACCTGAGCCGAAGCCAGACGCTTAACCGACTGAGCCACCCAGGCGCCCAGAATGCCCAAGTCTGAAGTCCAAGAGCTCAATCCACATCTGCCCACTTATGCAGCCGCGCCACCACCCAGGCGGGAGGGAGCTGTTTCCATCCCCTTACTGTGCGTCCCTCCGAGAGTTTTCCACTGAGGACCCAGCGAGAACGTAAGTGGGGGCAGAACTCTTTCTCATGGACTTTGTAGAAAACAGGATTTGCCTTTTGCAAGTGGACGGGTGTCATTTGTAAGCCGAGGCTGCATTCCAGAACCACTGCCAGAAGGACCGTCGTATTCTGAGTTCCGGCTTGGTGCAGGGGGAGACTGATAAGACGCCGGAGCCGACAGTGCTGTGTCGGTTACTGGGCGCATTTGTTTTCTGTGGCCCCTGTGACAACTGATCACAAGCTGGGTGGCTTGAAACGCTAGCTGCGTATTCTGTCACCGTCCTGGAGGCCAAAAGCCAGAATGCGAGCTGTTGGCAGGGCCTTGCTCAGCCTGAAGGCTCCAGGGGAGGACCTTTGCCTCATCCAGGTTCTGTCGGTTCCAGGAGTCCCTCGTCTCGTGGCCACAGCACCCCAGTCTCTGCCTCTGTCGTCACGTGGCCTCTTCCCTGTACGTGTCTGTCTTCACGTCACCTCTTTATAAGGACCCCAGTCAGTGGATTTAGGGCCTGCCCTGATCTAGTGTCACCTCATCTTAACCAATGCATCTGCACAGACCCGATTCCCAAACAAGGCCACGTTCACAGGTTCTGGGCAGGCATGAATTTGGGGGAGGGGATTAATCGACCCAGTGCCCAGGCATCCCTAGAAGTAGAAGTTAGAAGGTCCCCGCTGATCACTCCTCTTTATTTCCAGATTTTAGTTACAAAGAGCCAAGTGGAGACCTAAGTATTAACGTGAGGCCTGATGATTCTCAAAGGTCAGGGCTCCCTGCGGACATGGGGTTCGAGGAGGCAACCTGACTTGAGGCCGAAACAGGACCATCCTTCCACACCTCCACTTCTCGTTCCAGACTCTGGGACCCGTCTTTGGGGAGGGTGGATGTGGTGGAACTTGGCATTTATTAGAATTGGGTTCAGGGTGCCCAGGTGGCTCAGTTGGTTAAGCGTCCAACGTCAGCTCAGGTCATGATCTCATGGTTCATGGGTTCGAGCTCCTGTCGGGCTCTGTACTGACAGCTCAGAGCCTGGAGCCTGCTTCAGATTCTGTGTCTCCTCTCTGCCCCTCCCCTGCTTATGCTCTGTCTCTCTCTCAAAGAATAAATAAACATTAAAAAAATTTTTAGAATTAGGTTCAACTTCAGATAACATAACTACCCCCCCCAATAACTGACTTAAACAAATTGTAAGTGTATTTCCCTTTCACATTCAAGAAACTCAGAGATGGTTGGTCCAGAGCTGGTATAGAACTCCAGGGTGTGTGACTTCCATTCCCAAGCTCACCTCAAGGTACAAGATGGCTGCTGGCGCTCCAGTCATTAACTCTGCATTTAAGCCAGCAGCAAAGAGGACATGATTCATTAAATATTTCTTATCTTTCCTATCCATGTCCTTCCCACTTCCATTATACCTCGGTCACAATGAGCTGTAAGGGAGGCTGTGAAATGCAGGTGCCAGCTACAAGTTTGGGGGCTTTGTTCCAAAGGGTGAGAGGGCAACTAGATGTGAAGGGAGAAGCAGAATCCTGTTTCCAGCTTTGGAGGAAATGCGACCCCACCCTCTGGGGACAAGGCCCAGGAGATGTGAGGCTCTGAGGCCCTTCCCAAGCGTTTTAGCTGCTGCTGCTGTCATGGGGAGGGTCCAGTAAGTGGAAAGTGGGCAGAATTCACGGAGGGAGCCAGTTCTTTGTGGAGTAAAGGGTCATTTTTCTCTGACACTGGGGCACAGTGTGGCCTATAGGTGCTTGCTTGATAAATAGATTCCAGTTCTCACAGGGACCCCATTACAGATCGGAAGAGCTGAACTTGCCTTAAACATCTAGGGAGCCAAAGTTGTCAGCCTCGGATGGTGTTTTTTTCCCGTCTGGTCGGCCTCCCCATGAAGCCAAGTTCCTACAATGCCACCTCCGAGGGGACAGCTCGTCCCAAGTCCCACATTCCCTCCCTTCCGATCTGGACACCGGGAGCCCTGCGCTCCATGCCTTCCGGCGTGCCCACCCTACCTGTGTCCACCTGGTTCCATCGTCCCTTCCAAGCACACGGCAGGGGTAGATGTGGGAGACAGATGCTGTCCCCAGGGCCTCCAGGGTTGAGGGACATGCCTTTTGCTTCTGTCTGTAGATTGTCCATTCCCAAATTAAAAACCTCGAAATGCACAAGGTGGACAAAAGTGTGATGGAGCAGGAGTTGAAAGAGGTGAGTGAGCAGAGACTCCTCTCCGCTCTCGCCCCTGCATCCTGCACCCAGCTCTCCCACCCGGGGGAATGGAGTCATCTAGACAGGACCAGACCAGGCAGAGGGCCTCCCAGTGTCCTTCTGCCCCTATCGTATAGAAGGGCTGGGGAAGCTTCCCCAAAGTTCTCCCATCAACCCCTATTTTCAGTGACTCGGGATGTGTGAAAATCTGTTACGTGAACTAAAAATCAGGCAGCAGCTTCTCCTTCACAGGAAAACCTTGGCTTAGACCTGACAGTTGTGTTTGAGCCAATTAGGTCCTGAGGTTGAATTTAAGCCAAGGCCAGGCATTCAGGGTCCCAAACTAGAAAGCACGGACCAGAGGGTCCTGATCCCGCCCCCCTCCAGCTTCCTTCCTCTCCCACCCCAGCAGCTCTGCCTCCCTGAGCCCCCTCTGTCTCTAGAAAGCCGATAGGAGCATGCTGGCAGGCAAGGCAAACCGAGCTGACCTGGAGACGGTGGTGGTGGAGCTGAATGAGATGATTCAGGGCATGCTCTTCAGGGTCGTGACCCACGAGGATGACTGGAAGAAGGCTGCGGAAAAGTTGAGCAAGGACCTGAGCACCAAGGTGAGTACCCCGTAGCAGTCATCTCCTGCTGAGTAACAAGTGAGCCTGAAAAACATGACAGCATGAAATGACAAACGCTCTACAGCTGCTGAGGGTCAGGAGCTGGGGAGCAGCTTCACTGAGCGACTCAGGGACTCCCATGAGGTTGCAATCAAGATGCCGTCTGGGGCTATAGTCCTCTGAAGTGTCACTTCCAAGATGACACCCTCACATGGCTGTCGGCAAGACACCTCACTCCCTCACCACACGGACTTGTCACAGAGTGGCAGCCAGTGTCCCCAGAGCGAGTGGCCTGGGAGAGCACAACGGAAGCCCCATCATCTTCTGTGACTTAGCCACATGGCATCATCTCTGTAGTAGCCTTGTTACACAGACCAGCCCTGCCCTGGGTGAGAGGCTGTGAGTACCAAGAGGTGTGGGCAGGGAGGATCTTGGAGGCTGACCACCGTTAACTCTCCTGCCTGGGCAAGCAAGGGGGCAGGGGGTGGGGGTGTCTGCTGATCATTTACTGATCATTTATTCACCACTAGATGAAGTGTCTCCATTCATCATTTACTGACCACCTGTGATGAATGTTGCTGACGAGTCACAGCCCCTGCCTTGATTTGTACCATCCAGTAGAGAGACAGGCACAGTCAGACCAGCGATTACAGGGCTGTGTGGTTCCTGCAGCGGGGCGGCTGGTCTGGCCAGGAGAGCGTGGGTTCAGAAGCAGGCAGCCCATCTGAGTAGCAGTGTGCCCTGAGTGCTATGATCTCGCCGAGCCTCTGATTTCTCGTCTCCAAAGCAAGGATTTGTTTGTTCAGCTATGCACTGGGCACCTATGACGCTGGTCACGTGTTTCTCATGGAGATGCACTTGTCTTTTTTCTTTCCAAATGTTTATTTATTTATTTTTGAGAGAGAGACAGAGTGGGGGGGAGGGAGGAGGGAGGGAGTGCAAGCAGGGCAGGGGCAGAGAAAGAGAGAAAGAGAGAGAGAGAGAGAGAGAGACAGAATCTGAAGCAGGCCCCAGGCTCTGACCTGTCAGTACAGAGCCTGACGCGGGGCTCAAACTCATGGACCGTGAGATCATGACCTGAGCCGAAGTCGGACTAACCGACTGAGCCACCCAGGCGCCCCTGGAGACGAATTTGTCTGAAAAATCACACAAATCAACACAGAATTGCAGCCGGATGAACTATAGTCATCTACAGAACAACTGACCTATTTTTCTTCAGTGGTTCAATGATAGGGTGGGAAAAAAGTGGAGACAGAGAGACTATTCTAGATGAAAAGTGTCTCCAGAGACAAAACAGCCCAGCGCAGTCCATGAGAAGTCTTGGCTTGTGTCCTCGTTCAGTTGAGCCAAGTCTACAAATGGGCTGGGAGTGAGAACAAAGTCAGGAATTACTGTTCGTGCATTGGGTATCACATAAGAAAATGTCCTCACGAGTACGACAGTATTCGTGAGTCAAGTGTCATGCTCCCTGTAAGTTTTTAAAAGACACTCCGTCAAAAGAACAAGGCAGGTGTGGCAATCTGTTAAGAATGATGAACCCCAGATGGTGGGTGTATGGGGGTTAACGATTCTGGTCTTTTCACTTTTCTGTGTATTTCGATTTCTTCCTAAGGGAAAGCTTTTGTAAATTTTTGCTTTCAGTGCTTTTCCTTTTCTTTCTGTATTTTTAATTGTGGCAAAACTCATACAACCTAAAATTAACCATTTTGAAGTGGGACTAAATCTGTGGCATTTAGTACATGTACAGTGTCATGCAGACACCTCCTCTATCTGGCGGCAAGATATTTTCATCCCTTACAAAGAAGCCAGTGCCCATTTATGCAGACGCTTTGTACCCCTCCCTGCCCCTAGCCTCTGCCAATCCCTGGGCTACTTTCTGTCCCTATGGCTTTGTCTCTTCTGGACATTTCTAAGTGGAATCATAACATCCTGTGACCTTTTTCACTGACTTCTTGCCCTTAGCAGCATGGTGTCAAGGTTCATTCATGGATCAGATTCCCCATTCTTTTTCATGGCTGAACAATATTCCATCAGCTGGAGCAACCACATTCTGCTTATTCATTCATCTGTTGATGGACATTCAGGTTGTCTCCACCTTTGAATGAATAATACTTCTGTGAACATACCTGTACAAGGTTTTAAATCTTTTTTATTTTATTGTATTTATTTTTTTAATGTTTTATTTATTTTTGAGAGAGATAGACAGTGTGAGCAGAGGAGGGTCAGAGAGAGAAGGAGACACAGAATCTGAACCAGGCTCCAGACTCTGAGCTGTCAGCACAGAGCCCACCATGGGGCTTGAACCCATGAACAGCGAGATCATGACCTGAGCCAAAGTCAGACGCTTAACCGACTGAGCCACCCAGGCACCCCTTAAATCTTTTTTTAAAAAGTTTATTTACTTAGAGAGAGCGAGCACGTGAGCATGTGAGCAGGGAAGGGGCAGAGAGAGGGAGAGAGAAAGGATCCCAAGCAGGTTCCACACTGTCAGTGCAGAGCCTAATGTGGGGCTAGAACTCACTAAGTGTGAGATCATGACCTGAGCCAAAATTGAGAGTCAGACGCTTCACCGACTGAGCTACCCAGGTGCCCCACTTGTACAAGTTTTTGTGTGAACACCTGTTTTTGGTTCTTTTGGGGAGAAAACCAGGAGTAGAATTGCTGGGTTATATAGTGGTCCCCCAATTTAACTTTTTTTGCCCATTTAACTTCTCATAGGGGTGATACAGCGTGATGTCTGCAGTTAACTCTGAGATGGTTCGGAAAATGAAGAGATACACACGTATACATAAAGAAAATGGGGCAGCATGTTAAAAGTTGATTAATCTAAATGGACGCATGAATGTCCTTTGTATTTTTCTTACAACTTTTCTGTGGATTTAAAAGTTTTCAAAACAGGAAGTTGGGGGAGATTCTTCTTGGGGTGCTGCATTGGGCCGGCAGACGGGTCACGCTGGCATGGTCCCTTCAGCGGCATGTCACTGGTATAAAGGTACACTCCCACCTTATGAGCAGCCAGAGGTTTGGGGGTGACCCTTTGGCGGCCTGGAAATGGCCGTTGCCTCATTGGCCATTCTTCTAGTACCTTCCTCATAAGTGGAGAATTGTTGCCTGAACCAATTACTTCAACGGTTGCAAAACAGCGCCTTCTCTAATCTTCGTATTGCTTCTCTGCTTAGCATCCGGACATCTGTAAAGAAGAGCTCTCCATAATTAATGTGCACCGATTACCCTGAAATCGGCTCTTGCAGGAAAGCCCAGAACGATGATGAGCTGTTTCCTTTCATTACTGGTGTTCAGGAATGATATCGCTGCCACAGCTACCTCCAATACATGGTGGCAAGTGGCGGTTTCTGTTTTTATTTTATTGAGTTCTTTTTTGTGAATGTCACTGCGAATCATGGGTTTTTACATATTCAGTTTGCTGACTCAGTTAAGTTACTATTTATTTTGTTGCTCACACGGTCTCATCTGGCCTGCAAGGTGGCTTCTGAGTCCTTCGACTTGACCCTCTGTCTCAGAAAGCCATCTTGGCTCCTTAAATGACAAGACGTTCCAGATGCATCTGCAAAATTCCCTTCCCCAGACCTGAATCAGTCATTTCTCTACAGAGCCTTTGCTCCTTTTTGTGTTTAGAGACCAAAATGTGGGCACTGGAAGGAACACATTATTATTATTATTAATTTAAATTAAAAGTACGTCCAACATCGGGTTCAAACTCATGACCCCAAGATCAAAAGTCACATGCTCTACTGACTGAGCCAGCCAGCCACCCCTGGAAGGAACACTCTAAACATTCAAAAGTCCCACGCTGAAAAGCCGTCTGGCACTTTCTCACAAAGTTAGGTATAGAGTCGCTATACAACCCAGCATTTCCAATCCGGTGTGTGTGCCCAGCGAGATGAAAGCAGGTCCACACCAAAACTCATACACAGGTGTTCGTAGCAGCATTACTCATAAGAGCCAGCAGATGAATGGATAAACAAATAGTGGTCTTTCCGCCCAGGGGGTACAATGGGATATTATTCAGCCATAAAAAGAAAGAAATGAAGCTCTGATTCATGCTATAACCAGGTGAACCTTGTAAACATGGTGCTGAGTGAAAGCCAAACACCAAAGGCCACAGAGTATGTGACTCCATTTATATGAAATGTCCTGAACAGGCAAATCCATAGACATGAACTGGATCAGGGGTTGCCTATACCTGAGGGTTTGGGAGGAAATGAGGGACCACCGCTAATGGGTACTGGGTTTCTTTGGAGAGTGATTAGGATGTTCCAGAATTGGTTGTGCTCATGGTCACACAACTCTGTAGATAGACTAAAAGCCATTGAAAGTGGCTTCATACCCAGTGAATATGTGTTGCATGTGTGAATCTCCAGTGCCTGGGCACCACCGGGAGAAATGTGTCTTGGGCCTGAGGGCCTCAGTTGAGCAGTAGGGTTGGTTTTACCTTTTGGAGGCAGTAGCTGATGGTGTTTTATTGCCTTGGCTGCTAGGGAGTTCACTTTGTACTTCCATTCTGGCAGCAGTGTGCATTAGGGGTAGAACTGTAGCCTAAGCTTGGTCGTGTCCCCTTTCCTTGACCCCCTCGCTTTTGCTGTTTAATCTTGTCACACAATGTGTGTAGCTTTGCTGCAGATCCTTTTCTGGATGGAGCAAGGCGGGGTGTGCATTAGTTGACTAAATACTCTTCTCTTCCCTGGGGCTACGTGCAGCTGGTCCACAGTGATTTGGATGATCTGAAGAAGGATGTGGATGAGGTCTGGAAAATAGTCAGGAAGCTGCTGATTGAAGGCCTCCGGTTTGACCCTGACAGTGCTGCCGGCTTTAGGAAGTGAGCCCCTCCTGGGTGGGGGTGCGCCTCCCAGAGGCTGGGAGAGAGGAGACGAGATGGGTATCTCAGAGGAGTCCGGGAGGAAGGATTCCAGACCTGTGGACCCGGGGAGAAGGAAGGGGGCTTCCCAGCTTGGGGGCTGAGGGTTGGATGGCGCTGAGGGCACCTCCGAGGGGGGCATCTCAGGCCCTGGCTGGCAGAGGGGCTCCAGGACTGCATCTGCTCCAAAGTCCTTTTGTCGAGAATGAGGAGCCTGAAGCTCACAGAGCATAGGGTACATGCAGGGCCTCGCACGGAGCCTGTGTGGATCTGGGAGCCATGTCACCGTATCCCCTACTCCATCTAGACAGGGTCCCAGGCAGAAGAAATCAGTGTTGGGGGAGGGGGATCTCCTATCTTCAGATGACCCCTCATCCCTCCCAGTTTCCCCTACGAAGAGCAGCTTTCCAGAAGGACCCTGGCTTTAAAGAGCTCATTATGTTTGGGCCAGGCACATAAGCTATACACACTTTGTCCCCGACCTCTGCTCCCGGTGGCCACAGGTAGGGGTCAGCAGGGGCCAGCAGAGCCGACTTGAGCTGAGCTGGGCCAGGTCAGCTGGAGGAGGGTGTAGAGGGAGGTCCTGACACCGAGGTACAGGCAGGCCTTCCCCACGGTGCAGCGCTGATGGCTGGCTGTCTTCCAGGAAACTGTTTGAGCGGGTGAAATGCATCTCCTGCGACCGGCCCGTAGAGCTGATGACCGGCCCGTGAGTACCGCCACCAGGGGGCGTCTGCGCCCACCCTCTGTCTTCTGGATTTCCTCCCATCCACGCCTACCCCTACCTGTCTGGGGGGTTGTAGGTACATGATTTAGATGCCCATCAGGCCCTATACACCGTACTGTACAGATCATCTCCTTTGCTCCCCGTCCTGGGCAGGAGCACAGGCATCCCCTCCTTTTCCAGCCCTGCCTGGTGTCCCCTGTGTCCCAGGGTCAAGGTCAAGTCCAAAAGTAAAAGGATAGAAGGAAAGTGGGGAAAAGCTGAACTTTGGGGCTTTGTTGCATATATTTTTAGAATCAAAAACTTTTATTTATTTAGGTGAGATTCATATAAATCACCTTAAAGCGAATAATACAGGAGGCATCTGGGGAGCTCAGTTGGTTAAGCTCAGGTCATCATCTCACAGTTTGTAGGTTTGAGCCCCACGTCAGGCTCTGCGCTGACAGCGTGGAGCCTGCTTGGGGTTCTCTCTCTCCCTCTCTCTCTCTGCTCTTCCCTCGCTTGTGCACTCTCTCCCTCTCTCTCACAAAATCAATAAATACACTTTAAAAACAAAAGAAAGTTGGGTTTGAGGGAAGACTTCTTGGAGCAGGGAGCCCAGGGCCATCTGCTGGCCACTTGCTCCTCCCGCTTAACTCTTGTCCTCCAACAGGCAACTCATCACCATCCGCAAAGCCCACCTCCTCTCACGGCTGCGCCCTGCCAGTGCCAACAGCTATGAGTACCTGCAGCGGCAACAGATGAGGTGAGCGGGCTGGGGGTCTGTCTCACAGAGGTCCTCAGGGGCCCGGAGCGCTGCAGAGACATCGGTCCTGGGACCCAAAGGCTGTCCCAGGCCATTGTCAGCCATCTGCAAGGGAGCCGTTTTGAGAGGTGGCTGGGGCAGTGCCTGGCCCGGGAGAGACCCATGGTAGAGAGGGATGGGCTGATTTATTGGGCATCTATCATGGGCCGAGACGACTGGGGAAGGGTTCTCACTTACGTGTCATGACTCTCATGAGCTGGGGTGAGGTGCCTGCTTCCAGTAGGAGGAAATCAGGTACGGCCGTGGCCTCAGTGAGGCTTGCTGTGGCCGGGCGGGCCCTGTGCTGAGCGCTTGGGCAGACCCGGCCTCAGTGAATCCTCAAGCCTTCCCTTTGAGGCGTATTCTGTCATCACCCCATTTCATAGTTGAAGAAACCAATGCCCAGGTAACTTAGCCACCTGCCCAAGGTCGCGGCTATAGAAGTGCCAGAGCTGGTGTCCAAACCTGCAGATTCCTGCTGCACCTAGTAGGCTCCCTGGGCCCCGGCGCCACCCTCCACGTCCTGACATCCCACGCTTTGTGGGTGCTTCCTGCACTCTGGCCTGCACCCTGGTACTTCTGGCCAGGTGGGGAGAGCCATGGGGGGAACTATGCCTGACACCCCCTTCTTCCCGTGCCTGACTCCTTCTTGAGATCAAAGGTTCAAAGTCCTCCCCTGGCAGGTGAGGCAAGGGTCCCTGGGTGGGCAGGGCCTGGGGGAGCACAGGACTCGATTTTTCCCCACGACTGTGTCTGTCCATGTCCACTCCCCAGCCCATAGTGGTGCCCAAACGAACTGGAGGTAATTCCAGTCTTGCCTCGTGCTGGCCAGGCGCTTGAGCCCGCCCTGCTGCTCCCCTGGGGCACAGGGGTCTCCCAGTGGCTCCCGTGCTGCCTGTCCCACCGCAGGGAACACCAGCGGCTACAGCAGATCCAGGATCTCGAAGGCCAGGACAGGAGTTTGGACGTGCTGGGTCCCCAGAAGGACTGGGGCGATGGCCCTGGCGGTGCTGCCAGCGTCAAGCTCAAGACCTATGACTTGTCAACGTTGTACCCCTACGGGGACCCTGAGGTGTTAGACTATGACACAGTGAGTGCGGCAGAAGCCCTGGGCGTGGGCGGCCCCGGGGGAGGCGGTGCTCTGTCTGCTGGGCCTCTGTGTGTACTGGAGAGGCAGGCGAGGACACTCCCTGACCTGGGGCCCGGGCCATCCAACAGACCGAGGTGGACATTCTGGGAGTGGACGGGATCCTGTACAAGGGCCGAATGAGCAACCAGGAGGGGGTGCGGCCTTCAACAGGCGTGGAGAAAGAGCGGGCAGGTGAGGGGTATCAGGCCTTCCAGGGAGCCCCTGCCCTCGATGTCCTGGCTTTGCTGGGCAGCATGAGGAGGTGCCGGAGGGGCTCAGAGGTGGCCCCATCCCTGACTTGGGGCTCTTCAAGGGGCAGGAGGTCTTCACACAGCTACTTGCAAAAACGGAGCCCTACTATACGCCAGGTGCTGCACCAGGCACTGGGGAGGCAGTGGGGAGCAAAGAAAGATGGAGTCCCTGGGGTCACCACATGAGTGAGAGAAGCAGATGGTAAGCAAATAAACTGAAGGGGAGGATCCATTGTTAGGAATAGCAATGAATAGCTGACCAGAGGGGAGGGCCTGGTGACAAAGAATGCTGGCCTACGGAGAGGTGCCAGATGGCCTTCCCAAAGAAGGATGCTGGGCTGGGGATGGGAAAGTTGTGAGGCCAGTCCAAGGAGAGGCATCTGATGAGGGAATGGGGTAAGCTGGATGAAGGGGTCGGGTGGGAAAAAGTGGTCCCGGTGGGGGGAATAGCAGGTGCAAAGGCCCTGTGGTGGGTAGACGCCAGGCGCAATTGGGAGTCAGGAAGGTGAGTCTACCTGCGGGATAGACACTGGGAAGGAGTTGAGCATGATGAAGAGATGAGGACAGAAACTGGAGGCCTGTGTCCTAATGTCCCAGGCAGGTGAGGGTTGGGTTAGGTGAGGACACATGGATCCATCACTCTGATTGCTGCAGCGGCAAAGCCCCCGCTCCAGCTGGCTCCTTCCAGGGACCCCAGGCCTCGGCTCCAGCCCATGGGCCGTCAGTACCAGCAGGGGTACCTTCTCTGTGTGACTCTTGAGGCTTTTCTCCTTCTGGGAAGAGGAATTCTCAGTTTTGCCCTGGGTGGGAGCCATGTACTTCCCCATTGCAGGGGGACCCTCGAGTCCCAAGTGGCTGGAGGGTTAAATTCTCCCCGTGGTATTCTTCCTCACCCCGCTTTGTCCCCATTGACTTGAGGACTAAACCCCAGATGTGCAGAAAAGGAAAGGGGACTGTTTTCTTGGCGATTCTGGACAAAGAAGAGCCCACATTAGTGTCCTGGGACAGACGCAACAAATGGCCTCAAACTGGGGGCTTAGACAACAGGAGTCCTCACAAGTCAGGCGCCCAGGAGTCCTAGATCACTGTGTCACAGGGCTGTGCTCACAACCAGGGCTCCGGGGGAGGCTCCTTCCTGCCTTCTGGCGGCTCCACACGTAACTTGGCTCATGGCCGCGTCCCTCCAGTGTCTGCCTCCATCCTTACGTGGTCTAATCCCTGTGTTTTCTCCTTTTCTGGCTCCTGGAAGAACATTTGTCATCGGCTTTAGCCCCCATCTTAACCTGGGATGAGCTCATGCCGAGATCCTTAATTACATCTGTGAAGACCCTTTCTCCTAATAAGGTTACATCCCTAGGTTCTAGGGGACGTATCTCTTTGGGGACCTCCATTCAGGGCAGGGCCCTCCCCTGGCCCAGGAGTTCGGGACACCATCCGAGACCTTCATTCCTCCGGCACGGATCTGGCTCCCCCTGGACAAGGCTCAACCCCCCCAGCAGCGGCTGTTGTTGGGAGGGTACTCAGGCTAAGCTTCAGGGGTCACTGGGCAGGGTAACAGTTGTGGCTAATATTTAATGAGGCCTGAGTTCTTGCCAGGCCTGCACTGTCTCCTTTCAGCTGGCCACAACCCAGTGAGGCATTGCACCAATGAGCAGGTGAGGGCCGCTTGCCGGAAGCACACCCTCGGTGGGGGTGGGGGAGCTCATCTCCACTCAGGCACTAGACAGGGCCCCTCTCCACCTCCCTCCCCTGGGCTGTCACCCATCGGGCAGGGCTTCTCTCCCCGTGGCTCAGTCATTCTCGAGGCCCACGCAGCGCAGCTGGACTGAATCACAGGATGCCTCAACTGCTGTGTCCCGTTTGGGGGCAACAAAGTCTAACTACTATTAGAAGCTGGTTCGAAACCTGCTGTGGCCAGATCTTTTGACCAGATTGCTCTTATCACTCATTTATTTACTCAAAAGAACATTCTAACCCAAAACAGACCCAGTGTCTAAACCTAAATGAGCCAGTGTGAGCCCCTCCCAGGTGCAGCCTGGCCTCAGATGCATTCATCTGTTCATATCACTGTCCAGCGTGCCCTGCTGTTTACCCAGCCCTTTGCCAGTCAGGGGCCACGGAGGGGCCTCTGGCCAGCTGTGCCCTCCAGGTGTTTGCACTGAGTCAGAAGCTCAGGCCAGGACAGAGGGACACCCGGTCCTCAGTGAGCCGTGTCCCCATAGGAGGGGGCTGGACGTGCCAAGGCTGGTGGTTCTGAGGCTTGGACTTTCAGAGAAGGAAGGCTAAGTTCAGGCAGGATTCAGGACGTAGGAGGAGGCGGGCAGGGGCGTGTCACCAGCCTCAGCTCTCCTCACCAGCTTTGGGTGAACTGCCTAAAACACGCACAGTGACCAGGCCCCTCCCCGGCTCAGAACCCCTCAGTATGAATTTCCCATGGCTGCTATAACGAATCACCCCAAACTGAGTCACTTAAAACAACCCACATTTATTTTATCTTAGTTCCGGAGGTCAGTAATCTGAACTGAGTATCACAGGGCTAACATCCAGGGGTCAGCAGGGCCAGTTCCTTCTGAGGCTCTAGGGGAGACCATTTCCACCCCATTCCTTGTGTGTGGCCCCTTCCTCCAGCACGAGGTGTGTCTCTTCGACCTCACTTCCGTCCTCACCTCCCCTTCTCTGACTCTGACCCTCCAGCCTTCCTCTTCAGAACCTTGCGATTCCATTGGATCACCTGGATAATTCAGAATCCTCTCTGTCTCGAGATCCTTAACTCATCACATCTGCCAAGTCCCCCTCTGCCAAGTCATGTGACACAGTCACAGGTTTAGGGGATTGGGACGAGGACATCTCAGGGGCATTGCCCTCAGAGTCCAGGCTCCTTGGCTGATCTGCCCCTCCCTCAGCATCTCAGAACTGTTTGCTCATCTCTCAGTGAGCTCAGCTGTCCCCCGCCTCTGCCCATGCTGTGCGCCTGCCTCGAAGAGACTGTCTCATCTGCCAGAGCTCAGGGTCCCCTCCTGTTGAGAGCTTCACAGCTTCTCAGCTTCTGGCTTCTGCAGAGGTGGGAAAGCCACAGAGGAGGGCCCAGCAGGAGCAGGTGTCGGGGTCAGGTGGCGAGTTTGAATTCTGACCTACAGAATTCAGGGCATCAGGAAGACCTCAGGGAGAGTGCTGGGTCAGAGCCAGGTTTCCAAGCCTCGCTGAGTCTCGATTTCTAACCTGGGCCCTGGGCCCATGTCCCTCACCTGGGAGGGAAGCAGTGTGACAGTCTCACTGGTCAGCTGGTTGGCTGGTCCTGCCTGAGACCTGTGGAGGGATCCAGGTGGGTGATCAGAGCAGGGACCTGGGAGCGCCCCTCGATTGGGGCATTTGCCTTTACACAGAACCCACAAAACACACTGGAGTTAGTTCTTAGTTCAGGCTCAAGGAACAGTAGATACAGACCCTGAGTTAGGAATGCAAGAGGTTTGGGGGGGGGGGGTGTTAACAAAGAGGAAGGAGGAAAGGGAGGAGGCAAGCAGAGACCCCCAGGGGCCAGGCCCCCCGTGCTCCTGTCTTTGATCTGAGGTGCTAACAGCCACTGAGGTGCTAATAGCTAGAGGCTCTTGGCTCCCTGTGCTTCTGCAGCTGAACAGTGAGTTCTTTCTTTTTCCCTCCCTCCCTTCCTTCTTTTCTCTTTCATATAATTTATTTTCAAGTTGGCTAACATACAGTATGTACAGCGTACTCTTGGTTTTGGGAGTAGATTCCCATGGTTCGTTGCTTACATACAACACCCAGTGCTCATCCCAACAAGTGCCCTCCTCAGTGCTCATCTCCCATTTTCCCCTCTCCCTCCGCCCCCGCCCCCTGCATCAACCCTCAGTCTGTTCTCTGTGTTTAAGAGTCTCTCATAGGTTTGCCTCCCTCTCTGTTTGAAACTATTTTTCCCCTTCCCCTCCCCCATGGTTTTCTGTTAAGCTTCTCAAGTTCCACATATGAGTGAAGACATATGATATCTGTCTTTCTCTGACTGACTTATTTCACTCAGCATAATACCCTCCAGTCCCATCCATGTTGCTGCAAATGGCAGGATTTCATTCTTTCTCATTGCCATGTAGTATTCCATCGTATAGATAAACCACATCTTCTTGATCCGTTGGTCCGTTGATGGACATTTGGGCTCTTTCCGTGATTGGCTGTTGTTGAAAGCGCTGCTATAAAGTGAGTTCTTTCTTAAAAGGGAGGTCCACATAGCACATGGCTGCCACATGGCCCTGGTCATTCAGCTGGTCATTCCTGAGCCCTTCTCGGTGCCAGGTATATTTTAGATGCCACTGGGGAGACCCAATTTGGTCAAAATAAAGTTACTGCCCCCTTAGAGCTTTAACCCCACAAAGGACTGTAGAATATAAATAAATAAAAAGTCACTGAGTAAGATGAAACATGGGAGTGGGGAGAGAATGACCAGGGAGGGGTCCCTGGTGAGCTAACTAAGCGGGAATTGTCAGGATACCCAGGGGAGGACACAGGTGTCCAGGCAGAAGGAACAATCTGGTGTCCCTCATGGGAAGGAGCTTGATGCCTGTAACTCCCCCTGGGTGCCAGGTCTGGGCCCTCCCTCCCTTCCCCTGCATCTCCGCCCTCAGGGCCCCTCCTCTTCTCCTGCAGCCTTTGGTCTGGTTGGCCAGCCATGGGGATTCTTGGCTGGACAGGGAGAAGGGAAGGCCTTGGGTTCAAAAGTGAAGGATGGAGCCAGATCCTCGAGGCCAAATGTTGTCCAATCCCTGGTCTGGGAGACGTCCAGAACAGGAATATCGCAGAGACAAGAAGCAGATTCGTGCCTACCAGCAGTTGGGGGAGGGAGGAAGGGAAGCGAGCATTTCATGAGAACAGGGTTTCCTTCTGGGGATGAAATGTTCTGGAATGAGCTAGAGGTGGTCGTGACACACCGTTGTGAATGGTTAATGTCCACTGAATTGTTCTCTTCAAATGGTTAATTTTGTGGGGTGCCTGGCTGGCTGGCAGTGGAGCATGTGACTCTTGATCTTGGGGTTGTGAATGTGAGCTCCACATTGGGGATAGAGGTTACTTAATTTTGTGTTGTGTGAATTTTATCTCAAAAAAAAAAAATTCACACACACAAGGTGAGGGATGGGAAGGTGGGGGTGGGGGCCTGATGGCGGTGGTGTGGCCCCAGGGAGAACGTCTACGCCTTGAAAACTGGGTGGGAGGAGGGATCTTCCACGAAGGGGAGCCTGAGGGGCAGGTGTGTGGAGGAGGTGGGCAGGTCTGGGGAACAGTGGAAAGGCCTTTGCAGGACTTCGGGGGAGTCTGGGCTCAGGCGGAACTCTGTAAGAGCCCTCACCCATTCCTCCATCTTCCCCTTTCTGTTCCTCTAAGCTGTGAAGGTTCCGCACCCCCCAACTCGAAACCTGTATGATCGTAAACGCCCAAGTGCCTTGTTTGGTGCCATCTACCCCTGTGAGTACCTGCCCTCCGAACTCCCTGGCCCAGCTGGGGTCCTGGCATGGTCTCTGGGGCTCCCCAGTCCCAGCCTGGGGCACTCCTGAACCGCCTCATCCATCTCTCACCTGCTCTGTCTATGCCAGGGCCCAGGAAGTCCCCTTGGGTGTCCCCCTCCCCCCCTCCCCAAGCTTCCTGGCCATGGCTTCAAGCCGTCCTGGGCTCCTGGTTTACCCATCAGCAGGGCTTCCTGGCCCGAGCACCATCCAAGGGGGCCGAGACCAGGTGTCTGTCCCCTAGTTGCAAGGGCGGGATAAGGAGCCCATTCACTGTCCTGGGCCTCTCTGCCAGGGGCCCCGTGGGCTGGGCTGGGGGGACTCTTCTGGTTCCCATCACCATGTCCCAGGCACCTGCAGATGCTTTACAGCCTGGGAAGCACCGTCTCCCTTCTCATCTCATGCCGACCCCGGCCCAGTGGGTGGGTGGGCACTACTCCCCCGGCTTACAGTGCGGAGCTGAGGCACAGCACCCCTGATCCTAGACTCCAGGTTCGTGTGCACTTCAGCATCCGTCTCTGGCATCATTTATCCAGAGTCACCTCCGGGAAACTCTAGAGTGTGCCTGGGACGGAGCGAGCTGTGGGAGAGCACTTCCAGTCTTGTCTCCTTAGTGGGTACGACCTGGTCAGGCCAGTCTCCCCTGGGGTTGCTGCTGGGACACAGCATCGTCTCTCCCGCCCCTCCCAGCCCTGCACCCCCGCACGAGTGTGCGCTCAGCTGCCTTGGGCTCCCAGCCTACGATGCCAGCTCGACCCCCATCGCTGCCGCCCCTGCCTCTGCTGCCGCCGCTGACGCCATCCCCGAGGGACCCCCAGCAGGGCCTGGGGCCTGCCCGGCACACACGGCCTCTGCGCCTCGAGTCCCGGGCCACCACGCAGCCCGCCAGCCCGTGAGCCCCGCGCCCCTCCCCTCGTCCCTTCTCTCCCCCTGCTGGCAGAGACTGGGCCCTGAGCCCAGCCTGAGGAGGGTACGGCGGCCTGGACATGGGTGTAGGGCCTCCATGAGGGATGATTTTGACCCAGTGGCTGTTGTGTTTTTTTTTTTTTAAGGTTATTTGTTTGAGAGACAGAGAGTGAGCGAGAAGGAGGGGCAGAGAGAGAGAATCCCAAGCAGGCTCCACGTCCAGCTCAGAACCTGACGCGGGGCTTGATCTCATGACCGCGAGATCATGACCTGAGCCGAAATCAAGAGTCAGATGCTTAATGGACTGAACCCCCCCCAACGCCTCTTAACTCTATGCATCTAAATACACACAACACGATCCTTCGTTTGTGTGTCCTGTGCTTCGTGGAGAACACAGCTCTCTAGGTTGAATTTTCCAATAAGCCAGTGTGATTCTTTGACCAGTTTTTAATACAACAGCTAAAGTGCTTTTAAAAACAATCACCTTCCTTTTTTATTTTGCTGAAATGATTCTATCAGAATCAGTTCCCAGTACAGCTACTGCCAACATACATTTTCTTTGGGGGCCATTATTTCTGACGAGACCAGTTTTCTCATGGGAACCAAATTTTACTGTGTGCATCCTTTTGTGTTTCATGCTGACTCTTCCCACCAGTCGTCATGGTTATGGGTTGGATATTTTTAAACCCTGATTGTTGATATTTACGTTTTGGCCTGTCCTCGAGGAACTGGGAGCAGTGGCCCCTAGAATGCCCCGGGCTGCCCTCTCCCGCGGAGGGCCGGAATCCCGCTCGCCTGTTTGACGTCCTTCTGGGGGGTGACTGCCCATACTCTTGGTGGAGCAGAGAGCACACCGGGAGGCCATGATGTCCCGATCTGGCAATTTATGGGGCAGCCTGGGACCGCAGACGACACACACCTGCCTGCTGGCACCGTGCACGCGGCTGGCTCATCCTCCTTGCCTCACCCCTTCTCAGCCTCTCCCTGTCCATCGTGGCTCTGGCTAGTTGTGCCCACTATGCCTTTCATACTTCTGACACATCTACCACATTACACAATCTCTCCCTGCATGGTTTTGAGGCATGACTCCCCCACCTCACCCGACCATGCACCGGAGGCCCCTGGGAGGGCTGAGTGGGTAAGGGAGTTGGGGGAGGGAGTTCACCAGGGGTCCACTCTGGGGGGTGGGGGGGTGGGCAGCAGCCCTGGACCGGGAGGCCATCAGTGTCTGGGAATGCTGTGTGCCTACCCCCTACCTAATGGTCTCTCGGCCCTGTCCCCAGCTCCTCACTGTGACCACTCCCAGACCCTGAGTTCTCTTTTCTTTCTTCAAGGACTGTGTCTAAATGAGGTCAAGCTTTTCCGGACCCTGATGACTTACCTGTCCAGGATGCCTTGGGGGGCACTGGCTGTGCAGTCCTGGACCCTGGACCCACCCCCATATCACAGATGAGTATCTTTGGCACCTTCTCCCCAAAATAAAATCTTTCACTTTTTTCACTGTGGATGAGGAAGACTGGCCCGGCACCCTCTGCAGAGAGCGACCTTGTCTGCCCCACATGGGCGGGCAGAGCTGCTGGTCCCTACTCAGGCCCCCACCCCAAGGTCAGCCTCCCAGAGCAACTGGCCAGAACCACCCTGGCTGAGTCCCAGCAGAGAATCAACAGCAAAGCTTCTTGCCTCCGGCACATTTTCCACATGGCAGAGTGTCCTGAGCTTGCCCTAGCCCTGTGCTCAGGGAAGATGGGGGCTCTGGGGGCAGGCGTGGTGATGTGACCGGCCCAGGTTTGCTCAGGGAGGCCTCGCTGCCCAGCGCCCAACCAGGAGCTGTCCTCTTTGGGTGCCACACATGGGTACAAGGGCCCCAACTTCCATCACCTCCCATGTCAGGAAAAGGAGGTGTAGCCCGGGCTCAGGCAGAGCATCCCATGCCAGGCTTGTCCTCTGCAGCCCTGACCCTCGGGCACCTACACAGGGAGAGTTCTCAGGCCCTCCTGTCCATCCCTGCTGGCCCCCCCGAAGCTGCTTTCCCAGCCATTTCTCAGATTTACAAAAGGAATCATGCTTGGGTTGGTTCCTGTAGCCCAGGCACCGAGGAGTGAGGCCCCAGTAGGTCACCGTGTGACCGTTTGCATTCTGACAGGCCCCTCAGTGTTTTGGAAGGTAGGGGTGCCCAACAGCAGCCCCCCCAGGAGCAATGCCAGAAGACGACAGCCCTGTCCCCCATAGGGGTTGTGGGGGACCAAGCCGGCCTTTGGTCTGGTCCCAGATGGGAGCTGCAGGCAGAATGCTTGCCCCTCCCCTCTTCCTGCCCCAGAGGGTGGGGCCAGCAGGGAGCTGGGAGGAAGGTGCTCAGGAGGGTAGCCCCCCCCCCCCCGCGCGCCCCACAGGCCAGCAGGGAAAGGTGCCTGGGAGCAGACAGAGCCAGGATGGGGTCAGCAGAGTGGGAATTTCAGCAGGTCCTGCGTCCAGCCTCCTCCTCTGCCAGGGGGCCATGGTCCCTGGCCTGGGATGCAGTGGCTGTGCCAGGCTGGACTGGGAGGAAGGTAACCAACCGTGCCGGTCACGTGGGCTGGCCTGGTGTGGGCTGCAAAATGAGCTGGGCAGGAAGTGGGGAGAGAGGCTTTTTGCCAAGCGGAGGGTCCTGCTTTGAGGTGTTGCTGGAATGGAGATGCTGACTGGCAACCACCCTGCACCCCCAGCATGGCCCACAGCCCACCGCTGCAGGTAAAAGGGTCACAGGACATTTCTACCTTCCAAAGACAATGAACACTGTAACTCTAAGGTGTAAGCCACCAACATCAGCGATGTGTGTTGCCAGCAGATGACCTGCATTGGAAAACACTGCCTGTTCCCAAAGCAAGCCGCCGACCGCGGAGAGGTGAGGTGCTGGAAGGGCGGCTGCTGTGCAGGGACCCCCCTCCACTAGAACCAGCGCATGCCCGCCCCCCAGCTCGACCCCGGACTCGCTGTGGTTCTGGAGGCTGTAGTCAGAGAACCACCAAACCAACACACAGCCGCCAGAGAGAGGCTTCTTTTCTCAGTCCCCCTCCTCTTCTTGCTCATGGATTCCACGGGAAAACGACCCCACCAACCCGTGCAGCTCTTACCCCCCAGAAGAGGAGAAATGGCCCTGGAAAGCAGAGCGGATGGCGGCCATTGGGTTCTCAGCACCGCGTGTTGTGCCGCTGAGAAGCCCTCAGCCACCCTGAAAGTGGGTCTGGAGTTCTTCTAAGGCTCATATGAAACACATTTGCCCAAACGTAAGCTGTGGCTAAGCAACCAGAGACCCTTCCAAATGCAGGAATTGGAAATAGCCTCGCCTCAAAAGATCTCCTTTTGTCCGGCCCAGGCAGCCTCCCCAGAACTGACTGGAAGTAGCCAGCCTCAAAGCACTCATCTGTCCTGAGTGGAGTCCTGTCATAAAGCCCCTCAGACACTTACAGGGCCTTGGCAGCTGGATTGGGGGCTGGCCTTGGGGACAGCATGCTTTTCTGCGGCCGGCCACAATGTGTTCTCAGAGAACCCCGGAAGACCCTGGGGACCCTTAGTGGCCCTGGGAGCGTCCCCTTCATCTGAGAGAATCTTGAAGAACAGGCCCCTTTTTAAAGCTGTCTGAAGGAAGAGGCCTGCCTGCCCACAGAAAGCATTTTACAGTCTCCATTCATCTAACCAGGTGCCCCCCACCCCCCCTCCTCCCGGAGCAGGGCTTTTACTTCTGAAGTTTTTCCTGGTGAAAAACAAGATCCCCTCCAGATTCCCAACTGATTCGGAGATATGAACTGGGCACACACATCTATGGCCAGTGGAGCGGGTTGGCCGACGACAGGCAGCCTGGCTGTGTCCGCCCCCCGTGATGGTCAGTTTCAGCCCATTGTGGCCTCGAGGGTACCCGGGCAGGTGTTACAGATTTCCAAGATAAGCCACAAGTGAGACGTTTCGTGCAGACTCCAGTGATTGTAAAACGTCGGCAGGCCATTCGGAGAGACACAGTGTCACGCAAGCCAAGCAGTACACGTCAGGGGTCTAGGGGTTTGCGAACCCCAAAGTTAGCATGCCTGGGTGTTTTAACAGCAGTCCGGAAAGATGCACCCCCTGCTCGTCACCTGGGGGGGCTAGACCATCCCACATGCTGCCATGTCCACTCTTCAGGAATGAGATAGTTGGAGCTCAAATCTTCCTTTCAAGCAACTTCACGGATGCAGACGGTGTTTTTTAGAGCAGAACTTTGGAAAGTCATTTGAGCTCGTCTGGCAGGCAGGTGGGGGGTGACCATGCCCAGAAGATGCTGGGCTTTTAGGTGACAAGGGCAGCTTCCACGAGGTGCCAAGGTGAAGGACAGCCGAGGATGGCTGCATCTGTTCCCTTCCGCTCATGCACCTTTGCTTTTCAGCCAGTTTACACTTGAACTTGTTAATACATGGTTACTGACTCCAACTTTGCTTCTGAGCTTCCAGGTTTGGGGAAGTAGAGGAAGGTTCCAGGTTCTCTGTTTCCACCTCTGGTTCCCCCTCGAGTTTGTCTGGCCCGCTTTGACAGCCTTTCCCTTGCCTGTGAGATGTTCCAACCAGGGGATCCCAGCACACCTGGTGGGGCCTCTGCTTTCTGGAAAGTACCTAGCTCCAGCCCTGCCCTGTCCCCTCCTGCGCAGGCTCCCCACTTGCCTGGGGCACTTAGGGAGAATCAGATTCCTGGGCCCTCCTCCAGAACAGTTGCCTCAAGCACCCAGGGGACCTTCACAAGTTTGGGGGTCAGAGGGTTGGCAGCTCCCAGTTGCTGCGAGGGAGGCACTGGGGCCCCGCATCCCAATCACCTGGGAGCTATTTCAGTAACAGCTCTGACACTCTGTAAAGTTCACCCTTTCAAGGTGTATGATTAAGTGATTTTTATTCCCGAGCTGATCAGCCAATATCCTGGGAAACGTTTAAAATTATACCGTTGAGGCTTCTCCCAGATGCCGTGGGGTCTGGGAGTCTATGGTTTGTCTTTTTTTACGGAGCTCCCGGGAGGCTGTACTGTGCAGCCAACCATGGAACCACAGGTGGAGAAGACATCTTGCCACGTCTACAGACATTTTTGGTTGTCACAACTGGGAGATGCTACTGGCGTCTAGCGGGTAGGGGCCAAAATGCTGGTCAACATTCCACAGTGCACAAGATGTCCCCAGCAGACATCAATCCAGCCCTTAATGTCCAGTGCCCAGGCTGGAAAACCAGGACCTAGAGGAACTTCAAGTCCTTTCTGGCCCGACGTGACGGCCTGAGACCTCCAGGCCCAGCCCATGGCAGTCCCCCAGGACCAGAAATGCCCCTCACCTACGACAGATTGGCACTTAGCAGAAATGTCGTGTAGGGACACTTCTCAATGTGAACCTCGAGGTCCTGCACCCTAACAATCTCCCAGGTGGTGGTGTTGGTCTGGGGACCAGACTTTGTAGCCAGCCAAAGTAGAGCCTCCTATGCCTCTAGGAGTGCAAATTCTAGATGGTGCACTGCCTCTTGTGCCTCAGTCACTGCTCCCTGGGACAGCCCGGGCACACTCCCCTCTGCAGCAGGTAACTCATAAGCACATACCTGCCTCTGCATTTCTCCTACCATTTAAGGGTGTGTGTATGTGTGTGTGTGTGCGTGGCTGTTACTAGAGAATTTTTTTCTCATCTCAAAGAATGGAGCAGCTATAGAGAAGATTCAGGAGGCCCAAAATATCACCTTTATCCTGCCTGCCCCTCCCTCCCCTCTCTACATGCAGCCCTGACAGAGCTGTGCCCCCCCCACCCCCACCCCCGGCTCTGGACTCCCGAGAGGAAGGCCCTTAGAAGGATGGGTTTCAAGAGGTCACAGCTCCAGGACGTAAGCAACAGCTTGAGCGGGGGCCCAGTGGTCAGCGTTCAGTGACAACCAGAGGGTACAGTTATCCCAAGAGCCTGTCCAGGGTCCAGCGGGGCTGAGACAAAGCGGGGGAGGCCGGGGCCGGGGGGCAGCAGGGGCGACACCAGCACGGGAGCATCCTCTTCCCCGGGCGCAAGGGCAGGACTCTCGGTGAGGAACGTGGGGACAGCAAACAGGAGGCCTTCTCCAACAGGGTCTGCGACTCTCCGACCCAGGCATCATCGCAGAAGGGGTCAACCGAGGGGCGAGGCGCCAGGTGGGCTGTGCTGAGTTACGGAGATCTGCCTCTATGGAAGGTCGGGCCTCCCTCCTTCCCCACAGCCCAGGCCCGCACAAGGAATGCAAGGCTGAGACTGCCCCAGGAACCCTATCCCCCAGCGTGGGCAGCTGGAGGGTAGGGGGACAGAGTGGGGCATCCCTGGCTTCTCCCTGGGAGCCTGTGTGCTCCCCCTGCTTTGCCAGTCTCCTTGGCGACAAAAGGTCTGAGTTGCAGGTTGGACTCTGCCCTGGGCTTGTCCTGTTCCTGTCACGAGCCCCCACGGACCCTGCAGAAGAGCCTGCCATCTGTGGGCGCCGGGGTCTGCACCTCCCCGGGGGAGGGCCCTGCCCCACCAGGCCCGTTTGCTGGAGGCTGGGCTTGGACAGTGCAGCCTGCAGCCTGCAGCCAGCCACTGGCGTCCTAAGACACACAAAAAAGCTCGCTCTGAAACCCAAGCAGACCAGAAGGCAGTTGTTAGCTCTGGAGGTCAGGATCGGCCCCGCAGACAGGGGGAAGGATGGGCAAGAGGGCTGGGATTCTGGGAAGACAAGGCCAGAAACGAACTTCACGGCAGGAACCTTGGATGGGCAGGAAGATTCCAGAGCCACGTTATGGATGAAAAGGCAGCAGCAGTGTGGAGCCAGGCAGGACTGGAGGGTGCCCTGCCTCTCCACATGGAGCCAGCTGGCAGCAAAGCTCAGGGTACGAGGCAAGACCACAAAGCCTGGTGGTAGTTCGAACTCTTTCTTCTCTTTTGTTAAAAGGGGGAAGGGAAAGGGTGTGAGGTACCCCCAGGCTCTGGGGGAGGCATGCAGGCAGCCCCAGCAGGCAAGCGCTGGGGAATGGGTGGGAAGAGTCCTGGAGTTTCCCACAATTCTCTTCTCTGCAGGGAACAGCAAGGCTGGCTGACAAGGCGGGGGGAGAGAGGGGCAGGGCCCTGGCGGGAGGGGTGGCGGGCAAGGGGCTTGGGGGCTCACTCTAACATGCAAAGTCCAGCTGCCCCATAAACTAGGTTGCTTCTTGAAGAGCGACATACATATAAATACATACACAGCTACACACACACATGCGGAGAAGGCTCTGCATTCCCGAGGGTGGGGATCGAGGCCTGCTGGCCCCCGAGGAGCTCCAAGGCAGGAGCCAGCCAAGTCTCCGCTGCTGTGGCGATTCTCCGCAGCCCCCTGGGGTGGGGCAGGGCGAGCGAGTCCTCTGGGGAAGGCTGCTTGTTCTCTGAGGTTCTGTCCACCAGCACCAAGACGACTCTGAACCACATCCATGCAAGCTAGGCGCCGCAGGCCTGCGCTTCCGTGTTCATGCGCAGGCGGCCTGTGTGCAGGCACCAGGGTCCGGTCTCTCCCCTCCAGGGCTCCGGGGAACAGGGGTGCAGACAGAGGAGGGTGAAGGGGGCCCGCAGAGACATCCTCTCCCCCGCCCCACAGGGTCCTGGCCTCCGGGAGGGGGGAGGGGCCTCCCTTATCTCTCAGCCTCCATGGCAGGGTGGGCCCTCGGTTCTGAGGCAGCCTGTTGGGTGGCCAAGGGCGGCCAGTCTGACGCTGGGGATGGGGGTGCCGGAGTCCACAGGGGCGGCTGCTGCGGCTGGTGGTGCTGTGGCCCCCCTGGGGGCGAGGCCGCGGTGGGCCAGCTGGGTGTTGCGAAGCTGCCGGTGGCGGCGTGGGGGAAGTGCGGCGGGGGGGACGTGGCCGTGGCGGCCATTGGGCTGCCACTGCCGCCACCGTGAAAGCTCTCAGAAGCCTTGAGACGGGAGAACATGGTGAGGGCATCGGGGAAGTTGGGGGGCGTGGCAGGGGTGTTGGCAGGAGTGCACATCTGTGGGGGGAAGAACAGAGTGGGGGTGAGCACCCCTTTCTGGGAGGGTCCCCGGCCTCCCACTGCCTCCTAGGAGCAGACACACACTCAGCCACTGGTGGGAGCTTCTGTGCCTCTTCCCTGGATGCATCCAGCTCCGCAGGACAGTTCCCCTAGCTGGGGGCTCCCAGAGCCCACCACACCCATGGGCCATGTCCACGGAGGACCCTCTCGTGGAGCCACGGCAGAGCGCCAGAGGCCTCCTTCCCTGCCCTGCAGCAGGAGCACCCCGTAGCCGCCCCGGGGGCTGCAGGGACACTTACCATCTGGTGGTGGTGGTGGCTGTAGGGGATGTTGGTCTCCTGGAAAAAGGCGCTGAGGGCCGTCTGTGGGAAGAAAGGCCCAAGCTTAATTACCCTCAGCCGCCCCCCCCTGCCCCCCGTGGCCCTGCACTGCCCTCGTCCCCAGGATCTCTGGGACTTAGTGTGGCCCGGCAACCAAGGGGGAGAAATGAGTGGAAGCAGTGTGTCTGTCACAAATCAGTGCGTGCCACCTCCCAAGGCGGTGCCAGACTCCCAGGCAGGTCTGGCGGGCGGTGAAGACCCTCACACTGCCCGCGTCCAGCCTGCAGGACCCTCACGTCGGCACAGTGACCTCGGGAGGGGGGCAGGCAGCAACCCCTCCTGGTCTCCAAGGCAAAGGCCTTTAGCGGAGGTCCGCCTTTATTTCAAGAGATTCTAGCCTGACCTAAAGGTCACAAAGCCTCAATTTCCTCATCTAGGAGCCAGGGGACAGCAAAGGCTCCCGGAGGTGAAGTCTGTGACCCACCCGGCCCTCTCCTTGGCTGGCCACAGGAGCCTGCTGTGACCTGGGCCTCAGCGTTTCCAACTGCAACACAAGGGGACTAGACCGGTGACTTCCAGATTCCCCTCCCTTGCTGCAGTTAACGTCCTAAGATCCAAGTTCCAGCTAGGAGGGCCAGAAGTAAGTAGGACGGCCTGGGGTTTGCACTCACTGGCCCCCTCACCCAAGCCTCCATCGGGATGTTCTTAACGTGTCAGAGCAGGAGGATGCAAACGGGGTATCCGGGTATCCGCACCCAGCCTGGTGAGAAGGGGAGCGGGGGAGAGGGCAGAGAGCAGGCTGGGGGAGAGGGGACTCCAGGAGCCCTGAGGGAGGTGCCGCATTTGGTCTGTCCTGGCTGGGGCCCTGCAGGAGGGGCACTGAGGAAAATAAGGGAACCAGCTGCTCTTGCGAAAGTGCTGGGTGAGGGAGTGTGTGAAGGGTCTGCAGGGCCCTGCCAAGGCCCAGGCCCAGCCCCAGCTGCCCTCCATCACCAGCCCTCAGGCTCACTACCCTCCCCCACCCCCCAAACACAGGCCAGCCGGGCCCAGTCCCTTCCCCACCCCCACACAGCCAGAAACCCAAGCTGGCTCCCATGGCTTGCCCTGGGGTTTTGTTATTTTTTTACATTCAAATGAATTTTTCTGGGAATTTCCTGCTGTAGATGCCCAACCCCAGTGTCCCCAGACAGGTTGTGGGAACAGGCTGGGGTGGGTGCTGGTCTCTAAGTGCCTCCTCAGGACTCCTTCCCACCTAGGAGCCCCAGGGGACACACCCCAACTATTCCTTCCCAAAGGCAAATCCAAAGGCCACTTGAGTGAGGATTCCAGCACCTTCTGCTGCCTTAAAGCACCACCACTTAAACACACAGGTCCCCTCCCCCTGCAGCCTCCTGTCCTCATTAACACCTGAATCACAGAGATGTGACCCAAAAACAGCATGTAGTGTGAGCTTGCGGGAGAATGATACAGAAAGGGTAGCCCCGAGGAGCCCCTTACTCACCCTCACACAGGGACCTAAGGTTTGGGGGTTCACAACCCATTTTCACTCTAAGTGAACCTCCCTCGTACCCATATCCCCCATTTTATACATGTGGAATGGAAACTCAGGGAGCCTGGAGCATACGGCCCCTACCTCAGGGGGCCACCAGAGCCACCAAGTCTGCAGGCAGCTCCGGCCCCTCCTGGGGACAGTTTCTCTCAGGCGTTTCAATCCTCAAAGCCACATTACATTTTTAATTCCTGTGGTGGAGCAACACCACTGAGTGACAGCCCAGCTGGTGCCAGGCTCCGTGCTCCGGGCTGAGAGTCCAGACAGGCGAGGCGCTTCCCACCAGACACCTGCCTGCCCAACCCCGGGCAGGGAGGGAGCCATGTATGCAGATGTGGGACTCAAGCAAACTGCCGTGAATGTGGTTTTGCAAGTTTTGCCACATCTAGCCCTTGAGACAAACAGGCTGATTAGGGAGCTTCCTGCAGGGTGGGGCTGCTGGCCCCCAGGGCGGTGGGCGCAAGGGAGTGGCCTCGGACTCCTTAGAGATAACTCCCACGCTGGAGGTACTGAGGAAACTGAGGCCAGAGGACCAAAGGGAACCGCCCAGAGAGCAACCTCCCATCCTGTGGCCTGAGGACCACACAGCGTCAGTGGTCCTTGCTAAGAGCTCTGGTAGGAAGTTGTGAGCAAAGATTTCCCTGGCTGGATATGCTACTACTTCCCCAGGCTGTCCAAACCTTTGGCTGGAATCCTGACCCCCCAACGGACTCTCAGGAAGTTGAACCCTAGAATCCTCAGTGGACCCCCTGCAGGCCCAAACACCTTTCCAGGGATGGCTCCCCATCAGGAAACCAGGCTCCCGGGCTCTGGCTGGGCACAGACACCGTCTGGGCTGTGACCTTACACCTGTGAGGGGTGGTGCTCAAGGACTCTGGCCTCTTCCCTAGATACCACCCTGGGTTATTTCTGGGGCAGTTGAGCTAGGCAAAGCCAGGTGGCCTCTTGGCAGCACAAGCTGTGAGCACTAATGTTCTATGGATCGGGGAGGCCTGGTGGGTGGGGTCCTGACTGGGGCAGCCCCACCTCCTACCCAGCTGACTGAAAAGCAACCGAACCGTGCAAACCGAACCGTGTAAACCACGCCGTTGCAATGTACGGGTAGATTCCTGTGCCAGCACAGAGGAGGCCACTTGAACACGCCTCGAGGGCGGGGTGCACAAATGCACACCCGTAGCTGTAGTGTGGGGCTCAAAACGGCACCCGTACACGCGTGTATGTCCACGCGTGGGCACTATCTGCAAAACGGCGACGTGTGTACACGGGGCGCACACAGCCCGCACCCGCGCGCCAGGTGGACTGCGTGTTTACACACACGCCAACATGCCCACACGTAGCGTGGCGCGTGCGTAAATACAAATGCACATGTACGTAGACACACGCGCTGCCGAGCTACCCCCTGGGCACGCAGACCCTCAAACCCACTCGCGCGGGGCGCCTCTACCCGCGGGCCCCAGAGCTCCCAGTCCCATCCGGCGGCTCCCGAGGTGGGGGCGGCGCGCGCCCAGCTCAGCCCCGGCCGGGGCGTCCTCTTTCCGGCCGCCCGCCGACTGTCCGTCCCGGCCGCGGCGCCGCCCCGCCCTGGCCGTTACCCGAACAAAAGGGGGGTATTCCCGCATCCCGACTGCCAGGGGACTCGGGGGGGCGGGGATCTCTGGCCCGGTGGGGGCGAGCCGCCCCTCTCACCCACCCCGCTCGGGCGGCGTTTCCGGGGACCGCGTAGACGCGGCCGCGCCGCCCGGCCGGACCCGCACGCCGCGTGTGCGCGCTGCGGCCCGGCCAACGGGGCGCGCGGACGCCAGGACACCCAGCCGAGAGCGCGGCCCCGACCCGGGCGGAGCGCGCACCAGCACGTGTCCACACCGACCCAAACACGCGCGGCTGGCGGCACGGACCCCCGCCCCGGCCCGGATCCCGGCCGCGCACCTCGAACTGCCAGTGGGCCGCCTGCAGCAGCTGCTTCGCCTGGTCGGCAGCGCAGCCCGCCGTCAGCACGAACTGGTTGATCATGACCTGGTGCTTGAGCTCGTCCATGTTCACGGACATGGCGCCGCCGCCGCGCTGCCCGCTGCCTCCCGCCGCCGCGCTCCTCCGCCTCACGCGTCCACCATTAGCGAGCCGGCTCCGGCTAATACAAATATTTACTGTGCGGCTCTGACTCACCGAGCCTCGCCTGGCTCGGGGCCGCGGGGGCATGCTGGGAGATGTAGTCCCGCGCCGCCTGACCGGCCGGGGGGCGCGGAGAGGTGTGTCCGGACTCTGTCCCTGCTGCGTGCGGAAGCGGGCGGCCCTGTTTGCGGGCCCTCGCGCTCTAAGGGAGTCTAGCAGGCGTGGCCCGCTGGTGTCTTTGGCCGGTATGCCTGGCATCCCTGTGTTGGGTGGGTGCACACTTTGGAAGGGGGGGGGTCCTAGGAATTTTGGCACAAATCGGTAGCTCTAGGACACACAGCCCCGAAAGCCTGACACACAGTAGGCGCCAATAAATACTCCTTCACTGGATGACTGAATCTTCCCTTTAGAGCGCAGCAGAAAGTCACCGCCTCCAGGAAGCCTTCCAACCTCCCCAACACCCCGAGAAACAAGTTCACATCGCCCACTCGCGATGCGGGCCCCTTCCGGGCTTGGCGCTCATTCAGGTACACAACAGGCCAGAGGAACGTCTGGGGATTGGATGGCGCCAGGGACAAAACGCAAGATGGGCAGACTCTGGTGCTTCGGGGGTCCCCTCTCCGCGGGGCTCCCACTTTCCCACGAAAAAATCTCACGCGCTCTGCCGGAAATCTCGGCTTTGGCAAGCGGGCGCAAGGACCCGGCGGAGCCAGTTCCGGGGCGGCCCCGAACTCCTATTCCCAGAATGCCCCGGTTTATTTGCATCGTTGTATCCCAAATGACGTCAAGTGAGTGAGGCCGCGCCTTGGCCAATGGACGGCCTCAGAGTGTTAGGACCTGGCCATATAAGGTAAACAAAGCTGGCTGCCCAATGAGGCTGCAGCGGGGGCGGGCGCTGGGCCGGGGCAGGCGGGGGCGCGTCACGTGGCGGGCGGGGGCGGGACTGGAGCGCGCGGGAGAAGGGGGGAGTTGCGGGCAGTGTTTACAGCTCCGCACGCGCCGCTTCCGGGCGTGACGTCGAGGGTCGGGCGTGCGGGACCAGGGCGTGCTCGCAAAGGGCTCCCGGGCGGGGAGGCGAGGAGTAGTCTGGCGCGGTCACCTGCTGCTCTGAATGACCTTGGCCCGGTTCCTCGAGCTCCCTGGGCTCCAGTTTCATCCGTTGGGCAGCCGCCGTGTGGGCCCTTTCTCTGCCCTGCCCTGAGCCGGCCCGGGGTTACAGCGGAGAGCAAACCGGAGATGGGATCTGCGAGGGTGGGTTGGGGCCGTGTGTCAAAAATCCCAAGGACGGATGTACAATTGTGGAAATGTAGAAGTATAAAAGTGCCTTCGGGGAGCTGATACAGGCCCTGGGGTTTGGGGTTAAAAGTCATAGGTTTTACTAGATCTGATCAGTTGTCCACTTTAGGCTCATTGTGGCGTCCGGATGGTGGCAGAAGGGTACAGTCTGGATCAGGAGATGTTTTGGATGCGTCTGGTTCTAAGGGAGCATCTCCCCCCTCCCCCCCCGCCCCCCCAGCGCTTCACTGGTAGAATTGCACTGGATGGAAGGAACTAGCCCCTACTGGAAGGGTGGGGGAGCCCCTTCCTGGGTCCTGTAATCCCCCCAGGGGTTCGGGCTTTGGCTAATGGGAGCCTGGTGTACAGAGCCTGAAGGGTTCCAGGGTTGTGGGCTCCGGGGAAAGGCTGGGCCACCCGGATCGCTCCGGGAAGGAAGGAAGGAAGACCTGCACAGTGAGAGTGCTAAGCGGTCTCTTAGGGTCCCTGGGCTTAGCCTATAGGCAGGGAGTGGACTCTCAGTGTCCTCTTCCAGATGAGCACCTCAGGCTGGTAGTAGTATCCTGTCCACATGGGAAATCAGGTTTTGGTGTCTCTTCTGCCACATGGGGATCACTCAGGAGCTGCCATTTTTTGCAAGCCCTGATAGTGCCTGGAGATTCCCGATCTTGTTAAAAATGGCGCCTCACCTTACCAAAGCATCGTAAGCATGAACTAAGGTGGGTGAAGTGCTCAGCACAGGTAGTCGGCTCTGGATGTGGTGTCTCCTATCACTTAACAGTGGGACAGAGGGTGATGGAAGGTGAGACAGTTCTGGAGCCAGTTCGACTTGGGTATCAATCTTGACTCCACTGCTGAATGGCTACTATTGGAGAAAGTACTGCAGCCCTGAGCTTCATGTCCTTTGTAGAACCCAAAGTAGGAGTGTGGAGCTCTCCCAGGACTGCTGAGGGTAGATTAATACCTGCGAAGTGCTTAGTACTCTTTCTGGTACTCATCTCTTTGCCTCCATCTGGACCACTCTAGGGAGCCGAAGCCTCATTTTACAGATGAGGAAACTTTAAAGCTGGAATCCAAACCTCCTTACATGCTTGCCAGTGTTCAGAGCTAGTGGAGAAGAACAGGCAGCCATTAGCCCATGAGGGTGTATTTCTGGTAAGTGAGAGTGGGCAGTGTCCTGGCAGGGCCTGCTAGGGGATTTTCTTGCTCAGGGCAACAGGAAGTACCTTCACCTTTCCCCCTACCCTTACCAGCAACATTCAGTTACCTGCTTAGGCTTGTCCAGCTCAGGAACTCTTCTGGCTGGGGTGGGGCAGATGAGGCTAGCTGGAGCAAAGGTCACTCTTTTGGTCCCCATGGCCCCCCTAGCTCACTTGTTTTCCCAAGGGCAGCAGGGAAGGAAAAAACAACCTTGTTTTTAGCCAGGATCAGCCTGGTTAGAGAGTGGACTTTGGATTTCTTAGCAGGCTCAGATGGGGCCTGACAGCTGGGACCAGTAAGTGGGGGCAGGGGAATGAAAGGAATTCCTAGCAGTACCCCATCTTGCCTGAAGTTCGGGGAATTAGAGGCCCTGCCAAAGCCTCCCCAGCATGCCCTGGCCTCCTCCTTCCCACCTCCATTCTTTTATTTATTTTTTAATAGCTTGTTGTCAAGTTGGTTTCCATATAGCACCCAGTGCTCATCCCCACAAGTGCCCTCCTCCATGCCCATCTCCCCCCTCTCTCCCCACACCCATCACTCCTCAGTTTGTTCTCAGCATTCAAGAGGCTCTCATGGTTTGCCTCTCTCCCTCTGCCCCACAATTTTTCCCCTTCTTCTCCCCCACGGTCCTCCGTTAGGTTTCTCCTAATCCACCTATACGTGCAAACATATGGTATCTTGTCCTCTGCCTGACTTATTTTGCTCAGCATAACACCCTCAAGTTCCATCCATGTTGCTACACATGACCAGATTTCATTCTTTCTCATTGCCATGTAGTATTCCATTGTATAGATAAATCATAGGATTTTATTTTTAAGCAATCTCTACACCCAATCTGGGGCTTGAACCTACAACCCTGTAATCAAGAGTTGCATGCTCTGCTGACTGAGCCAGCTTCTTCCATTCTTTCAAACACTGACTTTGGGTAGATTAATACCTGCGAAGTGCTCAGTATGAATAGGCGAGGATCCTGCTCCCTCAGGAGGCTCAGAAAGTCGTCTGCACTCAGGGGACTCACCCCAGGTGCCCATAAACTGTCCCTAGTGTCTTTCAAAAGACCCCGTGCTATCACTTTTAGGTCATTTGGCTAAGATTAAGTGTAAAAGACCCAATGCTGGTTGACTGAGGGGATTTGAGATCTGGCCATTGCCTCACTCTTGACCTCTGTTCCTATACTTCCCTCTCACTTGATTTTAGCCACACTGGTATTTGAACTCCTGGATCATACTCAGCTCCTTGCAGCCTCAGGACCTTTGCCCATGGTGTTTCGTCTCCTTGGAACCTGGATTGGCTTTACTTCCTCAGAGTTGCCTCCCTGCTGCCCTGGACTATCTCTGCTTTTACTCGTATTTCAAGTCTGGCTTAGATGTCACCTCTTTGGAGAAGCCTTCCCTGACACCCCTATCAATAGTAGGTCTCTCTTATTTTTTTTAACTTTATTTATTTTGAGAGAGAGTGCACACTTGAGCAAGTGGGGGAGGAGCAGAGAGAGGGAGAGAGAGAATCCCACGCAGGCTCCACATGATCAGTGTAGAACCTGATGCGGGGCTCAAACTCACAAACCATGAAATCATGACCTGAGCCGCAGAGGCTTAACCGAATGAGCCACCCAGGCGCCCGTCTCATTATTATTTATTTGTATCTCTAGTCTCCTATAGCACCCATCACATTTTGTTAACCTTTTTAGTGTCTTTCTACACTAGCCTGCATTTTCCACATCTAGCATTCTCCCATTTGATCCCTGTTGCCTGGCTCGTAGCCTGGCTCATTGCCCGTCACATAGTAGCTGCATGATAAATATTTGTTGAATAAACAAATGAATCAGCACAGATATTGACAGGAGAACTAATAACAAATCAAAAAAGGCCTGTCTCCCAGCGGGGCATGGATAAGCACAGAAGAACAAGTCCAAAGCTCTATTGAGAATGTTTAATCAAACATCCAGCCCATGGAAATGGCTGCCCTGACCCAGGAACTATAGGAAGGACATACTCCTAGGATTGTTTTCCAATGAGAACGTCAGAGTCTATACTACTCCCCCCCTGTGCTAACAGCTCAGAGCCGGATTCTCTTTAAGATTCTGTGTCTTCCTCTTTTTCTGCCCCTCCCCCACTCATTCTCTCCCTCTCGTTCTCTCTCTCTCAAAAATAAACATTTAAAAAACAAAATAAAGGAGCGCCCTTGTGGCTCAATTGGTTAAGCGTCCGACTTCGGCTCAGGTCACGATCTCACAGTTTGTGGGTTTGAGCCCCATGTCGGGCTCTGTGCTGACAGACAGCTCAGAGCCTGGAGCCTGTCTTCGGATTCTGTGTCTCCCTCTCTCTCTGACCCTCCCCTGCTCACGCTGTCTCTCTCTCTCTCTCAAAAATAAATAAAACATTAAAAAAATTAAAACAAAAAAATAAAGTAAAAGGTACATCAGAAAATTAAGTGACTCTGTATAAAGTCCTCAACATGCCTGGCACACAGTAGATGCTCAGAAAATGGGGATCTTGACTGTGAAGCACAGATTCAATCAAGCTCCTCCAAGATCTGGACTCTACTACTCATAATCACATAAGGCTTTCATCTCTTTTATTAATTTTGGCTTCCCAGGTTCCCTGACAATAGTAGGTTGAATTCTGGATTCTGGCCACCGGAAATGTGCAAGACTCACTTAACGTGGAGTGCGATGCATTACCATTTGAGACCCTTGGCCAGCTGCTGCTCTCCCTGGCTGCTTTCCTGGTACAGCAGGCTTGACTTGGGAAGTCCCGTTCTTCTTGGAACCCCAGTTTCTTAACTGGAAAGTAGGTAAAACAGATCTCCACTTGGCCTGCTTACAGAATTTTATGTGAGTCAAAAGCCAGGAAAGTACACTGCAACCTGCAAGCCTTTAATCCTGACCGGTTTTTTATTAAACTTGCCTTCCGCACCTCATAGGCAGCCCCTCCCTTTGTGCTTCAGTTTCCCTGTATGTAACATGAGGAGAGGTCTACTGCCTCGGTGTGGGGCTGTAAAATTGTGTTTTCAAAGGGACTGTTCTGGACGTGGAGCCAAAGAGAAGCCCTGAGTTTTGGAAAGAGGCTAAAGGAAGCGCTTAGCTTCTCCAGGGATCCCCATTCCTGACCGCCAGCTATTGCCGGGTGGCAGGTAAAGGTTCGCCCTCTACTGGCCGGGGCGGGAGATAAACCCTGTGAAGTGGAGAGAACCACGGTGGCTCAGGGAGATATTTCAGAGAGGGGGTAAATGGAAGAAGCCGGATTCCTATAAGGGTCTATGTATGAGCAGATTATAAGGAGTCTAAAGAGTTAGGATGCCAGTGCCGTACTTGGAATGCAGAGGGAAGGTCAGTTTGCGGTGCGGGTGATGGATCCTCCCCTCTGGAGTCAGGTCCATTTGGTTTGTTCCGGAGCGTCGGTCAACAACTTCGTGGAGCCGCGGCGAAGGGCATCCTGGGACATGTAGTTCTTAGGCAGGCTACCCGTGCCGCAGCCCTTCGCCCTGGGCGGTGAGAGGACTCCATTTCCCGAGGTGCCTCATGCCCGGGGGGGCGGAGGGCCGCCGTGGCGTCGGGCCCCCGGTCGAGCTGAGGTTGGGGCTCGGAAGCCGAGGCGTCCGCGGCCGTGGGCTAGTGTGCGTGTGGCCCGGTCCGGGCCATGTCCGCTTGAGGACGTCGCCTCCGCCCGCGTTCCGGCCCCGGCCCGGCCCGCCGCGCACCATGGGCTCCATTCTGAGCCGCCGCATCGCGGGCGTGGAGGACATCGACATCCAGGCGAACTCGGCCTATCGCTACCCACCGAAGTCCGGTGAGCGGCCGCTCGGCTCCGGGAGCGGGGGGCGAGACCTGGTCCGGAGCACGGGTGGGCAGAGCATGCCCGTGCGGGGCTGTCCGCAGAGGGTGCGCCGCGGGCTCTGCTCGGTGCGCGGCCCTCCCGGTGCCTCCCGGCCCGGGGCTCCGCGCGACGTTCCCTCGGACCGTGGGTGGGGCTCCGGGCTGCCTGCCCCGTCCCCGTCCGGGCTGGGTGACCTTGGGTCAGTCACTTCGCCTCTGGGCGCCTCAGCCTCCTTGTCTGCACACAGGGGAGACTCAGTGGAAAGACCGAGGACTGGGGTGAGGTTCGGGGTGCGACGCTGGCCAGGGGTTAGCACGCTGCTTGGGGCTTCGCTTGTGCTTACAAAGTGGTCATTGTCAAAGGGATTGACATCACGCCGTCGTCAGTTTGGGCTTTCTTTGGTGGCTTGGTGTGAAGACCGGCCAGTGGTTCTGAACACGGCCCATGCCATCTGGACAGAGGCTTAGGTCTCCCGTGTGCATGTGAATGGGGGCTGGGGGGTGTGGGGCTGGGCCCAGGGAGATTATTTGATGGGGTGAGTCTGGGAGCCCTTGCTGGAGAACAGGAGACTGGTTGGAAGAGACGTATCTGGTTCTCTCCTCTCCTTTTCTGTGGCAGGGAGACCTGAGCCTCCAGAGGGGAAGGGACTTTCCCAAGCTCTCAGAGCTGTGTGGAAGCACATCTGGGGGCAGGACCACAAATACGATTCCCCATGGACTTGTTCCCACCCTGTTGTGCTACCTCTAAATAGTGTGGACTGACCCAGGACTTCAGCTTGGGTTCCTTCCTCTCCATCTCCTCATGGGGCCATTTGCCTTGGAAAGCAGAAAAAGGACAGAGAATTTGGACATCTCCTGACCCTGGCTTCTGAAGAATCTGCTCTGCTGTGGAGGTCTTGTAGGCCTCACAGTTGGCTTCAGGCACCCAGAAGGCCAGGTTTCCTTTGCGGGTAGTCCTCGAGCACCCACTCCCATGAGTGGGGAAGCTTGTTATTTCCCAGGCCCTGCCTCAGACCTGCGGGGCCTAAGAACCTGTGTTTAAACTCATTTCTCGCAGCGCCTGGATGGCTCAGTCGGTTAAGTGTCCAACTTCAGCTCAGGTCATGATCTCACAGTTCGTGGGTTCGAGCCCCACATCGGGCTCTGTGCTGACAGCCAGCTCAGGGCCTGGAACCTGTCTTCGGATTCTGTGTCTCCTTCTCTCTCTGACCCTCCCCTGCTCACGCTGTCTCTCTCTCTCAAAAATAAATAAAACATTAAAAAAATAAATAAATAAGCTCATTTCTCAGATGAGTCTGATGTCCACTCAGATTTGAGAACTGCCCTGCACTGATTTTGGAAGCCCCAAAAGAGGGAGTGTCTGGGAGAACAGAGGGGTGGAGACTAGCATGGCGCAGTCGGAAGGGCGGAAGTGGGCAGAAGGCACTGTTGCCTGCTTGTGTCCCAGGCACAAGTGCAGGGCAGCCCAGCCTGGTGTGGGGATCCCTGGAGACCTGTGGGCTGACATCCACACATCTCATTGAATTCATCCTCTTGCATCTCTGATATTCTTCCAGCCTGTCTTTGGCTGAGTGATTTTCGGCAAGCTGCTTAGCTCTCTGAGTCAATTTTCTCATCTGTAGAATGGGTTGATTCCTGTACAGTGTTTAGAACAGTGAGTGGCCCTGAAAGTCCTCTTAAAATGTTGCCATAATGGTTTAAAAAGGAAATTGGATGGCCATTTCAGACCCTAATAGCAGTTAGCAGTGGCATGGCAGAGATATCAGAGTTTAATGGGGCATTTCTTGTATTAACTTAGGATGAAGGCAACAAACTTGATGTCCCTTCGTTTAGGTGTTTTCACAAAACCACAAGTACAAGTCCTTTATAACACAGCTTTCAGCTTCTGCATGGTAGACCTTGCTAATCATTCAGGACACCTTTTGTCACCAAGCCTGGACTTGGTTTCAGAAGCCATTAATGAACACCCCAGTGAGCCACAGCTAATCGATTGGGGCTGGCACGCAGGTGAATATCATGGGCTACCTTAGAGCACCATAGCAGGGCTCTTCTGGACCTGTCCTCTGGGCTGCCTTGTACCTCGGGCCACCTTGCTCAGGGAGGGTCAGTCTGAGGCAGAAATGACCTTAGCAGGACTTTAATATGTTTCCCCAAGGGTAGGCTAGGGACCCCGGGGGTGTTTCAGATGATTTTTAGGGGTTGGCCCTGTGAGTCATTCAATCGCTTTATGAGAAAGTTATCTTTTCAGGTCTCTGTTAATTTCATTGATAATATTGAGGACAGAAAAATTGGATGCCAATATTTTTTTTGACATATCTGTAGCACTGATCCCTCGCAGCTTTATTAGAACATAATTGATGTGTAACATTACGTAAGTTTAAGGTGTGTAGTCTAATGATTTAATACCTGTACACGTCAGGAGACGAGGTAAGTTAACATCCTTGTCATTTTTTTTTTAAAGGATCTGTTCAATTTTCTTTTGCTTGTGTAACTTTCAGCATGTACTGCACCAGTACCTAGCTGAAATTTCATAACATTTGCTTTGTTTTCGTTGCACTTATTTATTCATTTTACTTTTTTTTTTAAATGTATTTTTTTTTTTAATATTTTTATTTATTTTTAGGAGAGAGAGAGAGAGACAGCATGAGCAGGGGAGGGTCAGAGAGAGAGGGAGTCACAGACTCTGAAATAGGCTCCAGGCTCTGAGCTGGCAGTCAGCACAGAGCCCGATGCGGGGCTCGAACCCACGAACCGCGAGATCATGACCTAAGCGAAAGTCGGACGCTTAACCGACTAAGCCACCCAGGCGCCCCAATTCATTTTACTTTTTAAGCAGCTTTATTGAAGTATATGTTGTGTGCCATATGACTCATCCATTGTAAACATATGATTTGTTGACTTCCAGTAAATTTGTACAATGCGCGGCCATCACCACAATCAGTTTTAAATGTTTCCATCACACTCCAAAGTTTCCTTATGCCTGTTTGCAGTCCGTCTGTCTCCCCCTGACCCCATGTCACTCTGATCTGCCTTCTGTCTTTAAAATGTGCCCTCTCTGGACTCTTCGTATAAAAGGAATCATACAGGGGCACTTGGTGGCTCAGTTGGTTAAGTGTCTGACTCTTGGTTTGGGCTCAGGTCACGGTCTCATGGGTTCATGCGTTTGAGCTCCGTGTCAGGCTCCGCGCTGACAGTGCAAGGCCTGCTTGGAATTTTCATACCACCCCGTCCCGCTTTATCCCTCCTCTCATGCCTGTTTGGGATTCTCTCTCTGCCTTTCTCTCTCCTTCTCTCTCTGTCCCTCCCCTGCTCGTGTGCACATGTGTGCACTCTCTCTCTTTCAAAGATAAATAAACTTAAAAAGGAAAAAAAAGGAATCATTCAACATGTAGTTTTTTTTTGTGTCTGGCTTCTTGCAAGTGGAGCAATGTCTTTGGAGTTCATCCATATTGTAACAGGCGTCTGTACCTTATCATACGGATATAGTACATGTTTATTTACCAGTTAACGTTTGGGTTGTTACCACGTTTTGGCTATTATGAATAATACTGCTATGAACATTGACCATTTTTCTGGCCCTGTTTAATTGTCTTTAGTATACACCTTGGAGTGGAATTGATGGGTCATATGGTGATTCTGTGTTTAACCTTCTGATTAACTGCCAGACTTTTCCACAGTGGCTGCTTCATTTTACATCCCTAGTAGCAGTGTGAGGGTTCCAATTCTCCACATCCATGCCAATGCTTATTATTATCTACCTTTTTTTTTTTTTTTAAGTAGGCTCTATGCCCATCTTAGAGCTGAGCTTGAATTCCCGACCCTGAGATCAAGCGTCACATGCTCTACAGACTGAGCCAGCCAGGCGCCCCTGTTGTCTACCTTTTAAATTGTGGCCGTCCTTGTGGGTGTGAAGTGGTATCTCGTTGTGGTTTTGATTTGCATTTCCCTGATGACTGATGATGTAGAGCATCTTTTCATGTGCTTGTGCTTATTAGTCATTTGTATACTGTGTGTGTGTGTGTGTGAGAGAGAGAGAGAAAGAGAGAGAGAGAGAGGTGTACATGCCAGAAGTCTGATTTTGTCTCGTTCATTTTTTTAAAGACTGGGTTGTTAATCTTACGGAGTAAGTAACGGTTCCATTATTCTGGGTGCAGTCATAGAGCTCCTTTATCAGCACTGTGATTTGCAGGTGTCTTCTCTTAGATGGTGGTTTGTTTTCATTTTCTTAATGGTGTCTTTTTGAGAATCAAAGATTTTAAGTTTTGGGTGAAGTTCACTTTATCAATTTTTTTTTAAGTTTGTTTATTTACTTTGAGGGGGAGGGAGAGAGAGAGCATGGGCATGAGCAGGGGAGGAATAGAGAGGGACAGAGAAAATCCCAAGCAGGCTCTGAACTGTCAGCAAAGAGCTCAAACTCACAGACCATGAGATCGTGACCCAAGCTGAAACCAAGAGTTGGATGCTTAACCAGCTTAACCCAGGGGCCTCAATTTATCAATTTTTTTTTTAATGTTTTATTTATTTCTAGGAGAGAGAGAGAGACAGCGTGAGCAGGGGAGGGTCAGAGAGAGAGGGAGTCACAGATTGAAACAGGCTCCAGGCTCCGAGCTGGCAGTCAGCACAGAGCCCGACGCGGGGCTCGAACCCACGAACCGCGAGATCATGACCCAAGCGAAAGTCGGACGCTCAACCGACTAAGCCACCCAGGCGCCCCTAATTTATCAATTTTTAAAAATTTTTTATTTATTTTTGAGAGAGAGACAGAGTGTGAGTGGGGGAGGGGCAGAGAGGGAGGGAGACAGAATCTGAAGCAGACTCCAGGCTCTGAGCTGTCAGCACAGAGCCTGATGCAGGGCTCGAGCCCACGAACTGCGAGATCATGACCTGAGCCGAAGTTGGAGGCTTAACCGACTGAGCCACCCAGGCGCCCCAAATTTATCAACATTTTTTTTTTAAATGGTTAATGTTTCTGGA